GTACACACTACATCACTTACACGAGTCTCGCCGGAAATTTCAATTGCTGGACACGTCTCATAGAAGAACGAGTCGCAGGCGAGCCAATTGCTAATTTCCTGTTCTCAGTGCTGCACTATTTTTTTTTACGATTTGTGACTTTGTTGTCGGCACAGCTAGCTAACTGTGACTTTTTACCACGTGGTCGAAAAAGTCCACTGACTTCTATATGTCACTACATATAGATGTTAATTTATTTAAACTGTCAGTTACAGTCTGTCGATTCTAGGCTGAATGTTTCTGTGAAGGGAAAAATGCTAAATGAAAATCCCAATACCGTATAATATTTTTTTTTTAAACTTACTTGTTTCGTAGCAGTAAGCATGACCTTTGCCATATTTACCGACTATGGTGGTACTAAATGCTCGAGAAGATAGAAAGACAAATTCTACCATCGAAACTGCGATAAAATAATTGACCTCTTTGTTGGCGAATGCTTGCGGAGGGAAAAAGGGAAGAAATTAGTAATATTTTGTGTTTTTCGGGAAGGTATTTTATGTAGCGATTGATAACAACGAATAATAAAAAACAAACGACAAAAGTAGAGGGGGTTATTATTACAACAGCAGATTACGTAATGCATTATTCTTATGCAATATTTAGCTCCTTATCGAAGAACTGTCTAAACTGCTGTTGTTATACTGCTATTCAGCTGTTGCGATTGCGTCGCGCGAAAGTGCAAGTATGCAATAGCGAATAGGCAGTGAGAGAAATGGCGCTAATCAGATGATTGGACAATGCTACGATTCGCAAATCTTACGATTGTAATCTTTCAAAGAACAACATAAAGTTCTCTTTCGCATTTTATGCTTTATTATTATCTTACTGTTATAAAGTCACATATTTGAAACTACGATTTTACGGTTTATGACATTGTAATAATGACGATTTTGACATTCGATTTCGACAGGCAGTCAATCAATTTAAATACTACTGGTGCCGAAAACAGCCATTTTGTTTTGGTTTTAATAAACCAAAACAAAATTGCTGTTTTCGGTGGTCTAGAATAGCTTTATAACAGTAGCAGATTTCATTTCGTTGCGTGTATCGCAGGATAGTCATCCACTATCCGCGTTTAAATAGCAAATAACAGGTTACACAACATGTTACCGTGGTGTTGCCAGGGCCCTTGAGTCGAAAACTACAAAAGTTACATTTTTGTTTGTAAAAATTACATTTTAAAAATTAGTTTAAGTACGCTCCAGAAAAATCAAGCGAAAACCAGTAATTGATTAATTTCATCTTATTTGCACCATATCTAAGTTACTTTTTCTTTTATTTTGGGTGCGTTCGTAAAGTATTTAGGACTTTCAATAACAAATATAGTTGAATTCCCTCAAAAGGAAGTTACGAAAAATGTAATAAATGTAACCATCGCAACACTACGTAATATTCATTCACAATGTCATAATGTATGCAAAACTTGAAAACTGCAGAATAACAGGTTTTCTGACAACAGTTTACAATAACAATTCTATAAATACAATACAATAACAAGTTGAAAACTCGCATAACAGTATAATGAATTATTAACAAACAGCCGTTTTTGCCATGTCTAGTCAAAAGGAGTACAAAATTTGAAAGAATAAAATAACAAACTATTTCAAAAAGAATGTGCTCGTTCACCCTCTTTGATATGCGTTACAAAATGACAATTTAGTTGATACAAAAGTACATTTGGCGCATTTAGTTATAGCTGTGGTTATAAAGTTGACGGTTGAAATTCTACTTGGATAATAAATAATTGGATAGAATATAGTACGATGGCTACTAACATGTAGTTCAGCAATAATGAGTTAGGCGCGAATCACTTTCGCTGAGTACAGAAGCACAAAACCACCAAAAAAGAAATACAAATATCCTGTTTACTGCTCGGAGTATTACAGATATCTTATATATTCTCCATTCTCTCTCTCTCTCTCTCTCTCTATTCTCCACGATCTGTCAAAAGTATGACATTCATGCTGATAGGTTAAACAAGTTGTTTTCGGTTGCCATTTCTTTGTGTGACGACCAGAATAATAATGCTCGCGCGTAGGGATACTTTGCTGCGAATCCACTATTTAGAGCAAATTGACAGTTCCGAGAACAGACAACTCTTTTCAAACAACTTTGTTATTTCCAAATAACAACTTACTTAAATAGTCCGTGGATTTGTGTGCGCCTAATCGATAGGTAGCTACTAGGTAAGCGAATGCTCTTATATCGACAACTACAATTAAAAAAAAAAACTATTAGGAAAATAAAGTATTGATTCTTATGCACTAAAATTTTTCGACAAACGTCGCTTTAAATCGAACCTCACTATATACTTAAACAATTTACAAAAGCCCGTGATTGCATGGTAAATCGCACCAGGCAATGTCCGCCCCCACCGTAACTGGGAAACTCGTATTGTGTATATTAATCAATGAATTTTTAGGAAAACGCTCAATTTGGCTTTGATAGAAATTCACCTAAAAATAGGGAATTTTTAGGGAAACGCTCGAAAACAAATTAAGAAATATGCCTACAAAATAAAATTTAGTTTAGTCTAAGCCTAATCGAATGCCACATACGAAGAATTACTAATACAGCGTGTTTATGTTTATCAAGTCAACCTCCAAACTAGGTAATCTCAGTACAGAGTACTAAAAAAAACGGACCTCAAATGTCATTCATCTCCTAATATGCACCCTTAGAGGTGGAATATTTTCTTCAAATTGAAATGGGACCGCTACTGAGGTATCTTCTTTCCAACAAAAAAATAATCATCAAAGTCGGCAAGTAAGCATCAAAACAAAACTAAAAAAATAAGCATCAAAACTTTTCACACGTTATCATTACTGCTCACAAGTTATCGCGTAACATACATACAAAAAAAAGTCGAATTGAGAACCGTATCTTTTTTTAAGTCGGTTAAAAATGTAATTTCGTACAAAACAAGCAACTTATCAATGTTATTTTCAAATTCGTAATAGACTTTTTCCGTATACAAAACTGGTGACTAGTTGTGCGTTAGTGACCTAAGAATATTTGCGTTGATATCCAAAATAAGAACCTTCAGTTTTGATACCTACTTCATAAACACCTATTTGTTAGGCACAACCATTGAAAGTCGTGCACGCCATAACATTTTGTGAATTGCTAAGGTTGACATATTTGTAATCTTAATCTTATCGACATTAATCTATAATGATAGAACACCCAGTAATCCGTATTACAAGGTACTAGTAGATGATTTCGAGCGCGATCGATAAGCGGTGACGTTAAGTATAGGCGGCGCGTCCACCTGATCGAATACGCCGTTCCCGATACTACCCCGATTTTTGTTCTTAGAATAAATAAACAAAATGTTGAACACAATTAGGGTTGGTAAATTTCCGAGAATATTTCCGAAAATGGAAATATTCTCGGAAACATTGCGAGAATGTTTCGCAAATGCGAAATTTACATAAAAAGTTGAATACTTTGGTGCAAAAACGTTTTTTTTCATATGAAGAAATATTTTGAAGTTAAGTTGATTGACACATTTTAATTCTTATTAATACCACAGAAATCCATTTTGGTGAAAATACTGCAAAATTTCTTAAATTTCCTTATATTTCATAGAAACTTCCCACGAAATATTTCAGAAACTTTTTGGAAATTTTTCAGAATTTCTTCATTATTTTATATTTTTATAGATAATTTTAATGTGGGGATCAAAATAATGCATAACAAAGGTGATTTAAAACTTTGTATTAAATAATTGAAATTGAATAATAAAAAAAAATGCTATACAATAGGTATGTAAGAAGCTTGTCGCACTTTGTAGACCAATAAAGTTTTAAAATATAATCAACAATAACAATTTACAAAATAATCAACATATATTATAGTAAAATTATTCAGTGCTCAAACATCAACAATTATAATTAAAATAGGTACCTCAAGAACAAATAACAAAATCACAGATTGGTTCTTAATTATGAAAAATACTGGGATTAAAAAACTTAAGAATCAAAATAAAATATAAAACTTAATACTAATCTGTATGCAACTCATCACTGCTCCATGATGTCGTATCTGAACAGGAAGCTACTGATAATGTGTCCTCATTTCTATCATACATAAGGTTCTGTTAGCAAATCAATGTCAGCGTTCAGGTGGTCAATTGAGCATCGATCTGAAATCTTCGCTGTTTTATGTGGAGCGTTTAAAAGTCGCCAATTGTGTGAAACGTAACTTAGTTTTCCAGCCCTGTCTGTTGTTAATTTGTTGCGTTTAGTGGTGTGTATGTTCCCAAATGTTGAAAACGATCGTTCCACTGCTGCAAAAGTTGATGGTACGGTCAAAATTTTGTTGGTCATCTGGCCCAATTTTGTTTGCCCAAAGAAATTATTCCACCATTATTTTTAATATTATTTCTAAATCTCTCAAACAATATATTATCAGAACAAATAACGTTCTTAAATTTTTAATTAAAAAATTTAAGAACGTTATTTGGTTCATGAAAACGATTCCTGTGCCAAATTTAATACCCTAATTTCAACATATTAACTATTAATACATATACGGTATAAAAGTGGCAAAATCTAAGTGGATTACGAATATTTATTTCATTCATTCTTTTGATGAGTATGAAATTTCCAGGAAACTTTCCATGCAATTTATGGACATTTAAGAGAAGTTACGGAAATTTACTTATTTATTCCGATTCCTTCAAAAAAAGTATTTTGGTTTTACAACCATGATATAGAACTATAACTTTTCTTAAATGTTTCTTGAATATGCGATAGTAAAAATGCAAAGTAAATATGTAAATTTCCATAAATTTCGCGTTTTGAGAATGTTTCCGAAATATTTCAAGAAACATTCAGACTGGAAAGTTTCCAATTTAGGAAAGTTTCCGGCTGCCCATCACTAAACACAATGCTTCTCTCTCGCACTATATTTATCATAGCAATATTTGCTATTTGGTAACTATGCTCTTCTTACAGATGGCCAGTCCCTGCAGGACATGGACATATCGCCAGATAGGAGTACACCTCTGTCAGAAAACTCGTACGGAACCCGAGAACCAAATTCCACAGCTCGCAGTAACTCTGAAAACAATGCAGTTCCTCCTGTAGTAGTTTTGGACAATTCAAATCAAACTGTGTGTATTAGGATTGAACTTTTACATGAAGTAATATAATAATACATAGATTTATATAAACAGTAATTAAAATGCAAATGTTTGTGTTTTTAGAGCGGGTCACTGCTCGCAGCAGCATTGCCGCGTATAGTGGCCACTTCCGCCAATGTGACGAATACAATTGGCCCCAGCGTGTCGAGCGGAGTGCCGCCTTCGAACACAGCCGCCAACAACGGCGGCGCGTCGCCAGCCTGCGACGTGAGCGGCGCAGGAAGCGGCTCTGGTACCCCTCACCGAGACGCCGGCCCCCCAACACCCACGCATTCTGAGAATACGGATCCCCACGCGCCGCCCTTGCATCTGGATACTGCTTTGCCCAGAAAGAGTTAGTATTGACTGACCTTTCCTACTACGCAGTAGCGCAACATTATTTTTTTCGGTTGATAATATCCTTATTTTTATAGAGATACGAACTGCTTTTTATGCACAATTAAATATTTCTTTAATTTTGAAACTTATCAACGTGTTGCACAGTGGAGTGCCTGGGGAGCTATTCGTCGGTGGTAGGCGGAACGCTGCACCACGCGCCGCCGATGCTGACTCCCTCCTTAGTGAACTACGTGCGTTCAGATCTTACGGGGCACGTCACTGGTTGGCCAGCGGATATTTTAGAAAAACAGGTAAGTCCAAGTAAAATGAATACTTGCATGATCGCTCAGCGGCAACCTTCATCGTTATATTTTATTCAATAAATACATAAATTCTAAACATTACCGAATTTTGTTTAGCCGAAAACTTGATAATTTTCTAATTGAACTTGCATTTGCCTGAAAATACTGTCATTAATTGATTGTAACATAAATAAAATAACTTTGTAAGATGAACCACGCACGTAGATGTTCATTAACTGTCAAAATTTCCGTAAGATTGAAATCTGTGTTTTTGTCTGCATTACTGAAGTAACAGTTTGTTTATTTCATCTATGGTCGTGCTTACCGCTGCACCAAAATTACGTGAACTGGACACAAACATGTCTATAGCCGAGTGGGACTAATGTTGTCTATTCCATTTTTGTCTATAATACCAACTGAGGGGACGAACAAGTCGTGCGCTGGGGGTAGAAATAAGTAAAGTGGCAGTACTAACCTGGACACTCTTTCACAAGGAGCACCACTGCTACTAAAAATTTTATATGATAATTTCAAGTATGTAATAGGTAGTTTAGAAACCCAAACAATTATATTAATACAATAATATTACCGTTAATTGTTATGTATTCTTAAATACAATTATTATATACGGAATATTTCAAAATAGTATAGGAAAGGCGTTATTCAGCCCGTGCACTTTTAGTGTTGGAGTTACAAAATTGACAGCAGCCATCATTGTGGCAGAAATGAGAATGTGCGGCTCAGACGCTTGTCACACTTAACAACTTCCTACACATTTTGAGAGCATTAACAAATCGAGATGTGTTATAATTGCTAATACACCGGGCAAACAAACAGGAAATTTTAAAAATTTCTACCACTAACTTGGAAGTTGGACCAAACAAATAAATTGATAACAGCAGTGAAAAAGAAAAACGAATTTCTGTCCCAGTAGTTCAAAGCTATCAGTGCCTACAGTATATTATGTATGTACTACATAACTTCTATTAGGTTTTTTTTCCTAGTACATAATCCAGAGCACGTCAAATTTGACCCTTGAGTTTCAATTCAACTCAGAAAATTTATTATAATAAAGAAAATTAATTTTCCATTTCTTAGTCTAAATTTTTGTACAATTGGATGGTGATAAGCAATAACATGTCAACCAACATGACAATCACGAAAATGGCACCTGAAGATTTTCTCTTTGTTTTTGATAGCTTATTCTAAAATTTACAGGTAAAATGAAAAATTCTGCTGTTGTGCTTGTTGTTGTTGAGATCATAGATGGAATCATAGTAATAAAGCACTGTAAAGGAAGGTGGTTCTCTCTTCCATGAGGTTACCAAAACAAGCCAAGTGAAACTCCAAATTGTTCAGAAGATTTTTATTTTTACTTTGTATGTCGCCAATACAATTTCACCCTATATGCGTATGGTCCGGGCAGTTGTTCCCAAGAAGGGACTTACTCCTGGAAACCGTTCCGCGAGATGAGGTTTATTCACCCTATATGATGAGCAATAATCTTTCGTATGAGCGTACGAAATATCAGAAGATCCGGGTAGCAGTTCCCAAGAAGGGACTCAACTCCTGGTTGCCTTAATGAGCTCTCTGTATTCTCAGATTTCTCTGCACATTAACAAAATTGTGTTCGAGTAGGGAAAATCTTAACCCCGCGATTCAGAAATAACGCCAATTGAGTCAATGCCATCTAGCGGATTCTTAGAGAACTAAAAGAAAACAATCTGGCTGAACGCCGTCTGTTACATAAAGTAGGTTTGTTACAGCACAACAATTCATAATTCCTGAGGTGATAGCAGCAAGTTTTCATTTATTATTAAATTTTAGAACAAACTATTAAAAACAACAAAAAATCTTTACGTCAAATTTTCGCTAAACTAGATCATGTTGGTTGACACGTTATTGCTTATCAGCATCCATATATAATTCAAAATTTGTACTTAATTTACTCTGGCCTTCAATATTTTTTTGTGAATTATTACAATATTTAATAAAATTATTCGTAACTGAGTAAAATATAAAATATGTTAAAATTGTAAATATTAAAATAAAGACTAACGTCTTAACATGACATGTTCACCTTTAGGAAAGTTGTTTTAAAAAAATCGAACAATTGATTTCTTCGCTTTAGTGATGAAAAGAGTAGTGTCTTTTTTTCAACGGTTAATTCAACCATTGTACTATATCGTCGCCTTCTTTCTCAAACTCACATCTAAAGCACAAAGTTACTGAAATGCAAAAAAAGTTGTATATGCAAATGTTGCAAGCTGGTTTCACATCACATTTATTTCATATTCACACACTGGCTTTTACCTATACTTAAAGTAATGCATCGAAATTAACAACCCTTGATACGAAATTTAAAATAAGTAGGAAATTTTGCCATCTCCTGAATAATCACTCTTTATAAGATACGAGTTTGAGAAAATAAGGTATCGATATAGAATTTTGTGTGCAATTGACTGATTACCATCCATTGGTTAAATTCTTCTATAGTTTCAATAGGAATCGATACAACTATGTCAGTTAATTAAGATATTCTGAAAGTGCTTAATTCTCTTTTATAGTGGTGACCAGCTTCCCATTACATTTTCTTATGGTAAAAACCACCTTTCACAGCTCATATTCACTGTAAACAAGTACAGTATAGAAATTTAAAATACAATAACTGCTAGTTTTACATTTTTGTAGACGGGCTGTTATTTTGGAAAGTATTTATAAAAACATTTTAATCTCAACTGTTGTGTGAAAATGTCATCAGAAAACAACAATGAAACCAAAGTCTAATACAGGCTATCTGACACCATTGACCTTTGCTTATGTATTTAGATTTGTTTACATATCTCGGTAGATCTAATCTTGCTGCCTGTGCATATAAAAATAAGCTAATGAATCTCTAAACTTGACATGCCATTTCACTTCACCGTAATAGTTACTAAGCACTAAAGATTTTTCAGGCAAATGACAATACTACACAATAATGGTGTTCCGGATTTTGACAAACTATGGCACAAAGCCACATTTCGCGTTTTAATGAAGGTGGAACGGCGATTCGGTGATAGATAAGATTCGGTGATAGATATTTCAAATTCGAAATGGGTTGCCGATTTTTATTCATACGTAGTCGAATTCTAAAATGTCATTCAGCAATCTCAATTGTGTGTTTTTTTATATTTCTCACGAGGGCCGCACAGACTTTGGTAAGTTGCTACCCATGAAGTTTCTTGTTATTGAGTACAATACGTTGTTTTCTTATTATAATCTTACATTGTTTTCTTTTGTAGGCTAACAAGTTTACCGAGGAAGCATATCAGCTAGGATGTCTGCAGTGTACCAGAGTTTCTGCAGAATTGAAGTGCGCGCGTTCGCTCGTCCGCCACACGGAAATACAGGCTACCTTACAGGAGCAAAAGTAAGTACACGACTTTATAATATGTACTATATACTAAATATGTAGAAACCATTTATTACATAACGCCACAACACAATAATACACAGTAAGAAATAAAAAAAAAAGAATAACAAAAAATAAAATAAAATAAATTAAAAATAAAATCTTAGTCATAGGTAATGAAATGACCACAAACATAGTCAACACTATTGTGTACTAAATAGATGTCATGTGTTCGGCTGTGGCGTATGTAAAAAGATCCACTCTGCTAATATCACCGTCGGGAAAAGGCTGTGACGCTGTGAAGGCTGTGATTTTCAGTGGACCCTAAATAACGTTTACCCTAATGTAACGTGTATGTAATTGCGGCACTAATGCTGGAATTGCGTTGTTGTCGGCAGAATAATGTACCTGCGACAGCAGATCTTGCGACTGGAGGAGCTCAAGTCACAGAACTCGTTCATGTCAGAAGACTAGGATTCGGGGTGGGGGGCATCTGCAGCCTCTCGCTAACTCGCCGCCCGCGCGCTGCCGCTCGGGAATGCAATCACCGTTCAACGCTATACATTGTTCATTCCGTTCTTTTTCTATGTAATTTAGATCGAATGATTACTGCTGTGTTGTGTGATTTGATGTTAAATTTTAAGCAATCTATCGTGTGTTGCTCTGTCGCGGTACCACAGCGCTGTACAGGTTTAATTCTTGTATGAAAAAAGTTTATAAAGTGTACGTAATTCTTGAAAATAGTTTCACTTCAGATGCTCGTACGCGTAATTACAAGTGCACCTTTAAGTCATCGACATAAAGTTTATTTATGTCCACTATACAGATATTTTCAGTACTCTTTAACTTTTAGATAACACGGACCAAATTGGATGTGTAGATAATATTGGTTACTTTGACGTTACAGATCATTTTAATGGTGACTGTATAATTATATTCTTGCGCGGATTCTTCAGTAAAATAAGCAATTCACGTACATACCTCGCCGGAAAGTAAGCACATTGGCGGTGGTACCACATAGGCTCGCTTTAAAATAAAAGCATAAGGTTCAATTTAAATTTTTGACTTTCAATTACGTACATTTTATTGACATTCTCTTGATTAATGAATTATATATATGTATTGTATAACTATAATGTGAAAAATCAATTGTATTGTATGTACTACTAGAAAAAGCGTCGCCTCGCGCGCTTTGACGCGGCGTGCTATTCATTAGTGATGATATTGCTGTTTTTCCTCCTTAAAAATAATGTAGCATTTTCAAAAAAATTGGGTTAAACATGCAATAATGACTTGATAAATTTCTATTCCATTGAGTCTGTTTAATTAAGGTAATTAATTTGTTCATCGGTCAGTTTTTAAGGGTAAAATGTTTTGTAATGTTATAAAAGAATTAAATTATTAAACAATACTTTGGTAGAAAACTATTGTTTTCTATGGCTCTATATTAGACAAAACATACAGTCATAGCGAGCGACCATTTCGCACTCCTCGTGGAACAATGGCGTAAGTGGAGTTACGTCAAACATGTTTATTGCTCCATTAGATACAGAAAAATATAACCCACATCCTCTGCATTACTTGTAACTATATCTACTTATTAGTCGATAGAATTACTTGATCTGGAGAGGATGTGCGTTATATTATTTTTTCAGCATCTAATGGAGCAATAAACGTTTTTGACGCAACTCCACTTAAGCCAATCTTCCACGAGGGATGCGATTTAGCGAATGATTTATTGCTCATTACCACAAAAATAACCTTATCGCTTCAGTGGTTCATTTTTGACCAATCAATGTATAAACTTTGTAAAGAACCAGGTATTTTGTATTAATAATAATAATTATAGTAAACCAGAAATTCTTGTAGTTATATTAGTTGATTTTTATGGGAAAATCATATAAGCTTACATTATCTTGATTACAATCTTTACGTACTTTGTCAGAGTGCAACACATATGAAAGTGAATCCTACGGGAAGTCGTATTTGACGAGTAACATTAGCGAATCGTTATTATAGTTAGGTTTTTAAAACGAACTCCGGTCTAGGTCTTTTTATTTTTCTAATAATAATATAAGGCTAATGTAAAAATTAATTGAACTGCTAATTTTCGGTAATTTTCTTTTTATCCTATAAAACTATGACGTCACATAACAGTTGACACTTTTTGTACCGACTATTTTATTGACGTGCTCTGTGTGTGCTGAAAAATAGGAACAGGAAAATCTTGTAACTGGTCGTTGAGGTCTTAGTTCTATAGAAATAATTGAGATATACTTCTTATTTCGACACCAATTTGTATAATATATTATGTACCTACATCAAATTAACAGAAGTAAGTACTGTGATATTCATTCACTTTCACAAGTAATAAATAGTAAATAAATGATTATAAAGTGTATGTAGACTTCTAGTCTCACTATTCTTGTTGAAGACATCTGGGATTATTCTCTCCTAGCAATAGTTCTGATAACGAAAACCCACTCATGGCTATAGCCGCGTAACGCTAAAAGCGCTTTCGAAAATTGGAAAGAGTTACTTTAAGATTTCGATTTTAATTAATATGACTTATTTAGTCTAATATGTTTTGCATTTGAATGGTCTGCACCACTCGATTTCAATCGTTTCGGAATTATAATTCGAATTGTAACATATACAACTTAATGTGGCAAGAGCGGCAGTTATACCATTAGTTTCAGTGTTGCCAATCGCTATTGACCTCGTAACGTGTTTGTAAATTTTCTATGGCCAATTGTACAACACAGTTGACAGTCAGAAGTCTTCAAACAAATATTTAACACACTCGGTGGTGAACATTGTAAATGCATGGAAGACGTGCAGGTAGCTTTCTAGCTACCTTCTGGTCTGGCTAATTGGTGTCACGGCAAACCTTCCACGGGGATAGTAGGACTAGACTGTTTTAGGTCTGTGTGGAGTAATTGATGTAATTATTTAGGTGCACGCTGTTTATAAATCACATAATTTATATTATTTAGGGTTCGAAAGCTCAGGTCTCGTGTGGTAGCAGAGCTTTGCCGCCAGCCGCCGCGCGAAGGGCCTGTTGATCGGCAGAGGCGCTAATGCCCGCGTCCAGACCTGGTCTTCGCCCTTCGACTTAGTGTAGTTTTTGACCATAGCGCGACTACCATGGTCGCCTCCACACAAGGCTGTCGTATTTTTAACATTTTCTTTCGATATTCTCTTTCCATAACAACATGAATTTGTTACTGATATTGTTCAAAATACAAGATTTAACCAGTTTAAAATAAATCAGTTTCAAATAATATAATTGGTATTTTTTTTATTAGATCCCAAATAAAACTTTTTTGTTTATTACAAATTTATTGAGAAATAGTGATAAATATTTTAAAAAGTACATTGCGTACAGTGTTTCCCGTGTTGGTCATATTCATAATGGCACTACAATTGGCCGTCACTTATTTATTTACTTCACAAAACTGCGAACGTGACTTGCTCCAGTGTCACAAAATTTATGAACAATAAAAATCAACATTAATCATATAAAAATATGATTTAGTTTATATTTCCTTCTCGAATTGGAATAAGCGCGCGCTATTGGCTGTCTCAATCGGATCTAATTTACATAGATAGCCAAGAACGCGCGTTTATTTCAAATGTATCGCGCGTGTCGCTACTATCATGCGTAGCCATGCTACGGGCTGCAGTATTCGTCACAAACTCTAGGCCCTTAGTGATGTAGTCATAATACCTATACATACTATGACTACATCAATAAGGGCCTTATACTAAATCTATGGATGTAGTAGAATTGAGTTCCAAGTTGTACAGTTGTAAAAATCTATGATTTTTAAAATATTTGATACCTTTGGACGATTCCAGTTTGGTCAATTTTTTTTAATTCTATGAAAAACAAAAATTAGCACGCATAAGTTACAAGTAAGTTTGTTGGGGTTGTACTACTTCACTTTTCTAATTTGTAATTTCAGCGCAAACGAGAGTTGATATTTAAAAGTGATACATAGGGCGCACTATAAGTTTCCGGAACTGGCCACTTACAATAAACAATATTTAAAAACTAATTACAACATTTGAAAATGGAGTTCCATGGAGATGAAAGAGTTATTTGGCTGTAGAAGAATACAGTTTGTTTCATCTGACTGTCACTTGTTTTTACATTGTGGCGTCATTTTAGAAATTGTCTACATCACCATGGATTCGTGAAAATTTTCGTAGTGTGATTTTCTACGACTTTAAGGGTCGTATTCCAGAACTCTACTCAATACTCAAATCAGGACTTGAGTATTGCAGTGAGCACTGAAAATCATACTCAAGTCTGCTCAAATCCTGACTTTAGCATTGAGTAGAGTTCTGGAATACGACCCTAAGTGTAATTTAACAGGCCAGGCTTCAAATTGCTTTTGGCGATGAAGCACCATGCAAGACGACTATTTATAGCTGGTTTGCTGAATTCAAACGCGGTCGTGTGAATCTCAGTGACGAATTTCGTGATGGTCGCCCGTCCACTGCTGTGAACAACAAAAACATCGATGCTGTGCGCCATATGATCAAAACAGACAGGCATGTAACATACCATGAGATTCCGGCATCTTTAAGCATAGGGATGAGTCATACAATTAATACTACACAAACTGGACTGGTTGCTTTGGAGAATCGTTGTATCGTGAATAGTGACTGGTACACGACCATTTGTTTGCCGGAAGTTGTTGATAAACTCCTTAAAAATAACCGTAAACGCCGTATCATCTTGCATCACGATAATGCCAGTTCTCACACGGCCAGACAGACAAATTAATTTTTGAAGGTGAACAACGTTGACATTATGAGCCATCCTGCGTACAGTCCCGACCTGGTACCTTGTGACTTTTATGTCCAAATCGCGGTCAACAATTTTCATCACCTGAAGAGGCTGTCGAAGAGAAATCTGTTTCAGAGATTGTCACGGAGTGGCATAAATGTTTTCAAAATTGGCTCATTCTTATGAAAAAGTGCATTGACGCTAACGGAAAATATTTTGAGAAACATTAATTTCTGACCATTTATAATATTTTTTTCTTATTCATTCCGGGAACTTATAGTGCGCCCCGCGTATAAGGCCCATTTACCTGATGAATAGCCAGGGATGGTTGGACCTTATTTCGTCTTCATGTCTGTTTATAATACTCGATGTACGTAATAAAAGTCGTCAAAACACAAAAAACTAAATTTTTTAAATTTATTTATTTTTCTACAACGGCATCGAGTATGCTTATATTACTCGATGTGCAACGGTAATGATTAACTAAAAACTAAATTACTTCCTGTTAAAAATTCATAATACGTTTCACTTTAATACCATTTTAGCGACTGTGTGAAGTTTAAATATAAATATGAGCTCATTTATATACCTAATGAATGAATATAAATCTGTTGTATCGATTTAGTACACATCTGTCAGATTCCTCTTTCGTCAGATCATTTATTTATTCCGTATAGGTCAGAAATTTGTTGCTGGTAACGAAACAATTGTATCTGCCAAAGAAAGTGAGCAACTATTTCACGACTTTCTGTGGGTTTAAGCTAGGATTATGTGGTAAAATGATATAACAGTCTAATAAAACAAATCTCAAAAGGATATCAACACCCTCAGAAATACAAAAAGCGCTCGGAAATACAAAATTTTTTACAAACTTTTTTTGCCTTTATAGTCAATTTTAGAAAATTCGACTCTTGTCTCATCTTCCATGTGAAAAGACACCCGAAATTCGCGAGAATTTTTTTCGTGTTTTAAGTAGATAGCAAAATTATTTTCAGTTTGCCTCTTCTTTAACGGCTATGTTAACCACCATGTCGCCATAGATAAGGTTAGCCGACGTACGACATAATCGTCATAGATCGATGACGTAAGTAGCAGACATGACGTCAGCAATTTTTTTTTGTTTCAATTTAAGATAGATTTAAATTCAACTGACACTTGCGTTAAGAACGACCCAGTCCAAAATGTCCAGTTTGATCATAGTTTGATACATTCTTGCTTGTACACAAATGAGTTAGCAGATTTTTGAAAAAAGTATCTACTATATATGTACTTACACCAAAGGTATCCTAGGGACCTGCCATATAGGTACATGTGCGTTTATGATTTTGGGAAATAGTAATAAGAAGGTACAGTAGGCCGATCTTAAGATCTAATTGTATATTCGAAAATTGTGCCCTCCTACAATGTTGGAAAATTCAACGCTTTAATATCCAACATTATTTACTTGGATACTGTTTTTTAGATATCCACTAAGAAAGTAAAAAAGTACTCAAAATGGTGCACTATTTAATTTCAAATAGCTAATACGAATAACATACTATATTAGGAATAAGATGATAATAAGTAACGTTAATTGTGACAAAAATATATTCATGAAGTAAAGCAGCGCCCTGCGTCTTTCATTTATTATTATTATTAGTATTCATACATTTTGTATAAGATTTCTAATTTGTAGCTCAAAATGCGTCGGTCTGTATAGCTTTGTGATAGAGGCTGTAAGGTGATCGTAATAAAAACATGGCGACAGTATTGATTTACATTATTTATTATCATTAGAAAAAACCAGCATCTATTTCTAAAATAGTTTTTGCTATTTGAATAGTGTGTTTTATATGTATTACATGTAACATTTGCTATTTCAATAGATTGTAATTTATATCATTTAATATTTTTAGAAAATAATTATCATTGCCTCAAAAACAATTATCAACTTCTAAAAGAAAGCATTTTCTACTTTAACAGATTGTGAATTATGTCGTTTATAATCTTTAGAAAATAATTATCACCACCTCAAAACAAGCTTCAACTTCTAAAAATAAATTTCCTACTTCATTGTGCTACTTCAGCTGATTGTGAGATCGGGTTTCATCGATTCTGCTAATAACGGAGCTGTTATAGATGACGTGTTGGCGAGAATGGGAAAGCAGAGCTTCATCGTTTTATGCACCGAATGCGCATGCACCATGCCCTTTCAGCCCGCTAGCTCCGCCTACAGATGACCTAGTCTCAGTGGAATTTTACCAGGTCACTTACATAATTGAAATAACACATTGAAATAACACAGTCAAATGGCATTGGAATTAACTCGCTAGCTGTAATTCTAAAAATGTAATTTAAAGCTTGACTGCCTCCGTGGCCGAACGGTTACCATGCCGGACTGCCACGCAGAGGTCCCAGGTTCGATTCCCGGGCCGGGAGAAATATTTATATGGCCTACATTTATTTCTCTCGTGAGTTTGGGTGTAATTTGTGGTAGTCTATGTGTGTGTCCATAGCACCCGCGAACAGGGTTTCCCTAGTGCGGGGCTATGTTGAGTGTGTGCGTTATTATTATTATTATTACAATTCAAATAATACATTAAAAGAAACTGCGTGAAATAATTAAATACCTACCGATCATATGAAAATTCTCTCTAGAGTTATAACTCTAGCATTCATAAAATAATTGTACGGCGAAATAAAAAAAACATATTAGTTAGTCGATTAATCAGTTATTTGTGTTAGGAGAGCCGTTCCTCGAATGATCCAGTAATCTTGTATAATGTCAGTATTAAGCAATACCGGCAGAACAAAATTTGTGCTGTGTCCCGTAGTAGACAAGGTACCTGAAAAGTACAAGTGATTGTAAACAACTTTAAACTGGAATGGCTGAATTTGTACCTACTTTCACTCGGAGGAAGTACCTACTTTGTTGACGAAATTAAAATATTATTATTATTATTGTAGACCTCCATTCATCGAATGTATAAACGATGCCTCCATCTCAATTGATGGAAAGCGACGATGAGGTCGAAGATGTAGCATGCACACTTAAACAGTGCTTATTCACTCTCGCCTTGAAAAGGCCCAAGTTATAGCGTACGGGGAACAAGCCTGCACGGAATTCCACACAATTTGTATGGCGAACATCAATCGAGATTTGCAACATAGGTGTGGAACCCCAACCTACGTCTAGTCCCACGATGACGGAATGGGGAAGGCGGATTTAAATCCTGCAATTTACTATAAATACAAAGATGGAACATTAAGAACAATTCCTTCGATCTGTAAGATAAAATATAAATAAGAAAGATAGAGACAAGAGATATAAATAAGAAAGAATAAGACAGAAAAATAAAAATTATAGTATATTTCATTTCCTTCACACACAACTCAATAACAATATACTTTAAAACAGTAATGTTGTAAACTAAAACATTTGTCGTCTGTAAAGGCTGGAGCCTAAACTGGGATACCCTGTGCTATGGATCTCCAGACTTACCTACGGATAAAATATTCTGCAAACAATCACTTCAGTAAACCATGCCTGACGCTTTATCAACTTAGCTACGGTACGGTTACGAATTTATTATTGTTGTATGTATCCAGACGGATCGTAGGAATTTCTCTTAATGTCCGATCTTTGTGTTAATATTTATAAAAAACTAGTGGAGTAATTTCACAAATAAATAATTGAATATGATGGTAGTAAAACATTGTGATATTCAATAAAAAAACTTAGTTAAAATTAAAATATACTAATTAATTACATGATAAGGTACTCCGCTTTAGATTAACTTTACCTGCGCGTTCTGAAGTTTTGTACAAGGGTGCAACGTAGCGTGGGTCGGGCTTAGGAAGTTCAAGGACTGGTTCGAACCAAAACGCCGGCAGTGGAGGATTCATTTGACCTGAAAAAGACGGCTTTCAATAACCTACAAAATGGTAACTACACTATAGTGACACAGCATCATTTTTATGGTACCACTAATATCGTCAGAGCTATTTCGCAATTTTTAGGGATATTCGGAAGGTTATTTCTAATAACCTCCAATCTTCGAACATATAACCTGAAACAGAGACGAAATAAGGGCCATCCATCCCTGGCAACTCATCATTTTTAAATATCAACTCTCGTTTGCACTGAAATCACAAATTAGAAAGCTGAAATATTACAGCGCCAAGAACCGACCTGTGTGTACATCACCGTATATTCCAAAAATATGCTAATTTATTGTAATAAAGACAATATCTCTAACTATGGGGGGCTGTTCCATTCGGTGGTGTGGGAAAAACAGCAAAACATCTAATTACAAAACAAACGGAATTTCATTTCTTCGGTAATTAAATATGTAATTTTTCAATAGCAAAGCTCAAGCTAAACTGGCTGGCCTTTAGGACAGCAGTTGTCACCGTAATGATATGGCAGAATTGTTTTCAAACAAATTAAATGCCATTTCGTCTCTATTTCTGGTTATGTACTCGATGCCTCCAATGTTTGAAACGGTCGTAAATAGTGATGCTAATAAATGTTTCAAACCTGGCAAAGCGTCTACGAGTTTGTTTAACTGCATGTCCCAGCGTCCAGCGTCAATAAAGAGACCGTGGATGTTAACACCGTCTTCTGGTCGTTTTAGACCAGAATACATATCCACTGTATCCTCATCTTCCTGAACAACAAACATACGTATCATGGCCGTGTCTAATATTTCGGTAAAAAAAATTGTTATTTGTAGGTATTGACCAAATATATTTTCCATAAAGCACAAATAACGGCTTCTGTGCATAAACATTATCGTGTCTACGCTTAATATATTTTACAATTATTTTGACGAGATTATGACTTTGAGTAATTGCTTTGCAACTATACACAGTATGCATAGGTAACGAAGTAGGTAACCCAATCGAAATTGGGTGATAATCGAACACACCGAAAAAAAGAAGCCAAAATTAGTGGTCACAGAAAATAGAAAAAGTTGTAAATAGCAACCCTAATCTCAGGACAGAGTACTAGAAAAAACCGACCTCAAAATTCATTCATCCTCTAGTTTGCCACCCTAAGAGGTGGAATATTTTCTCCAAATTTAAATGGGATTTCTCTAGGTCACGTAGGAGGTACTCTCTTTCCAACAAAATAAGAATCATCAAAATCGGTTCACAAATGCCTCGTAACATACATACAAAAAAAATTCAGTCGAATTGAGAACCTCCTCCTTTCTTTAAAACCGGTTAAGAAGTAGGTTATAGTGTGCACTTACAGTTACAAATAGCGTCATAATACTGGACTGCTTACCTTTTTCTTTGCCTTATTAATTTTGTAAATATCCTCTTGTAAAATTATTATTGAAAGGGGATGGAAGTCGAATAGAAGGGCATCAATAGGTACACGGTATTTACGGGCATAAGATTGAAGCGATCCTGTTAATAAACCTTGCGGGAAGAACAGCCCAGACACCCAGCTACTGGGTTGCAAACCCTCTATTAGCCATTTCTGCAATTGTTATAATAATAACATAATCATGGAGACCGCATATCTAACAATAAGGTACAATCGATGCGCCAAATGACACCTGACTCCTTAGCCAACGTTTTACTTCTGAGAGCCTTCAAGAGTAAAGTGTAAAGGAATTCCGAACTTATGGTAGACATTATTATTAATTTTATAATATAAATTCTTTTCAAAGCTGGACTTCTGGGAAGTGCCCAAAAGTAATTTCCGTAGCTCTGGCACTCGTAGAGAATCAATGATGCAAGAAGGAAGTTATATCAAAATGAATTTTACAGCTCACAAGTTAAAGGTTTTGTTTAACACCTTTATTACACTACACTACTCTACTAAGAACCAAATAGTCGGTATTTCGGTAGGAGGTCAAGCATCTTGGAGAGAGCATCGACTGTACAAAACAAGCTCTGGGATTTAAACAATCATTAAAATAACCTCGATAAAATCAACCCTCAGCGTCAGGTCGTGAATCCAACTGCCCAGTGATTTCAGCGAATTGTAACCTTTCTTGTGCCACATGTTGGGTACTTTGTTATTAAGGAAAGCTATAAACACTTCCTCAATAGCTTCTGACATTACTACGAGTCCCTGAAAAAAAAAACGCATCGTTTTTGTATTTAAATACCTAAACGACTTTAACTGTATTTAAACAATGTTACAACTACGAAAGAAGTACTTGCTTTGATAGCCTTTTGCAAGTCATTCAGAGACGAATGAATCAACGCGAGCAAAGTATTGAACCTGTCCGTTTCATGTATAAGAACAGTGGTTAATGAATGTTGCTGCCCCATGTCGTCAAGGACAAGCAAATCTTGGTTGATTTGTGATTTATCTATTTTGTGCGGTACTGTCGCTCGCGTGGTATCACATACGCGCCACACTATTTGATCGGAGGTCTCGCCACTGCCACCGCCTCCAGATCGAGGCTGAACATCCACTATAGTTTTGATAACAGTCGTTGTTTCTTTGGCCTGTCAAGATACCGATAAATATAAGTGTAGTGCTGTATCAGAAACAGGTATATTATATGCATACAAACACTACGCATTTTACCTAACGATCTTACATTCAAAGTTCGGAAATACAACGATATAAAAGAATTTGGACATGCATCCTCCCCGAATAAATGAGTTCCCGTATATTACACAAAAAGTTACAAAGACAACAAAAAGTAAAAACGTAATAAAACGAGATCTTGCTTTCAATCAATACAAAACCGGAGATGACGCATGCACAAAATGTAGCAATCTGCCGCAGTTAGTTGAAAGGGCACATGTGACATTATTTAAAAAAAATGTTATGCATATTGTTGTGATCAGTAAAAAAAGGCCGATGTGTTACTATTTTTATTTTTTCAAGTGGGTAGGGTATGAAAAGCAGATGTCTTTTTAATTTCATTTGTTTAAACATTACTTTCTAGGTTTTGAATTTTGTCACAAGCGCCCTTTCAATTAACGGGGGCAACATTTTGAAAGAGTAACTTTTAACTTTAGTCCTTATGACATATATAACACATATATGCATATAACAGTTACTTTTTTTACCAACGCTAATTAGAAAAATACGCTAGACTAACTTCGAAAGCTATATTTGCGTTGTCATGCATCCCGAACACCTCGGGGTCTTCAATGACCGGCCAGCTATCCACGTACTCCTTAAAAGCGTCTAGCATTTTCTCTACTGGACAGTAATAAATACCCGAAGGTGAATATGTATATCCATCTTCTAAAATAGGTGGAGAAAAGAATTTTTTCAAAATCGTAGTGAGACAGCGTTGGTCCCACATGTCAGTGACACGACCACCGTATGTTATTTGACCTGTAATAGAAAAATAATTTCGGCACATAATAGGTTATCAAATAGTTTGGCGATTTGTATACTAAAAAGATTTGATGGATCATTGACTTACAAATAAATGGACGACGGGTCTAATACAAAAACCACGAAAAAAATGTCCCAAGTCAACCTATTCGAAATTTAAATTGTTATGTCATCGCAGTATCGCGCTGTCCGTAGAACAAATGAAGACTAAAGCGGAGTGTCGCGCTCTGTATACGATTTTAGCGCCTTACAAGTGCGGACACTTTTTAGCGCGGACCCGACGTCCATATAATTGTAAGTCAATGTGATGGATGAATAAATAAGTAATAACTGTCCCTCCAAGGCAACAAGTTCCTATAGGTATTAAAATTGCCCTCCTTGTCATAAACCACGCATTCGCATTTTAGTAACTTTCGAGATATAGAATAAAATGATTTATTTGAGACCACGATCCCAAGTATTGTTACTAATACAATAAACTTTTCTTACGTGCTATTTTACGGTTAGTCTTTACAATACAAAATGATTTATGCTAGAGAAAACGCCACGGGTAGACCACTACCCTACGCACCTACACATATTGGCACTTAAATTTTCTTTGAAAAATGTCAATTACGCTGAATTTGCATTTAACAATAGATCTGAAACTAAATAAGTAAAACAAAAAAAAACTTTACTTCGTCTCAAATATAAAAGACAACAAGGTTGAGGCTTGTTTTTAGTATGAAAATACTTGGTATCAGGAGGTGTCGCCTTTACTCGTGTAACTAGTACGTAACTGCCTCTGTGGCCGAACGGTTACCTTGCCGGACTGCCACGCAGAGGTCTCAGGTTCGATTCAGGGCCGAGAGAAATATTTGTATGGCCTACATTTATTTCTCTTGTGAGTATGGGTGTAATTTGTGGTTGTCTATGTGTGTGTGTCCATGGCACCCGCGACACAGGGTATCCCTATTGCGGGGCTATGTTGAGTGTGTATGTCTATTAAATCAATACACATTCCTTCAAATTACTATAAAACAAAATAAAATAAAAGTAATAACAGAACTGAATCTCCTGCAGTGTGTGTGTGCGAGCGCGCGAGTGTGGTTTGTATGTGTGCGTGTGTGCACGCGCGTGCGCGTACGCGTGTGCATTTCTGTGATGATAGAATGACGAATAGAATTTATTGTGTGCACGAATAATGCACACAATAAATTCTACTAAGAATTTATTGTGTGCACGAAGCGTAGTGTATAAAAGTATTTAAACAAAAATAAGATATATATAAAAAATCGCTTAGGGGGTTGTAGATCTCGCTTTTTCGCTGATTCCAGATACGTTAATAACTCGATATTGCTAAAAATGTCGATTACGTTGTTTATGATAAGGACCTGTGCCTCTACCATGAGTTTACTGCGACCACGTATTTTACTTCACAATTTTTTATGGCATATTATACAGCGCCTCTAGCGGTTACGGTGTGTATCTGAGCGGTGCGAAGATGAGTAGCTGACTCGTTTGCTTTAGCTTTGCGCGGGTAGGGTGCGGTCTGGTGAGCGCAGGCGCCGGCGAGCAAGCTCGCGTAACTCGCACTCATTCCTCGCTCGCATCTCACGCACACATTCCTAGCTTTTAGTATTATACAAATACTTAGCTCCGCTAGCCCTTTTCCACCAGAGCTGCACTGAGTCAGGCTAGGAAAATGAAGTAATCCTATAGTGGAAACATTTTAAGTCGTCCTCCTCGCAGTCCTGATTAGCCCCATTGCGTAACCTTTTTCAGTCCTTACTTAAACGGTAGAAAAAGAAAGTAAATAGTAAGGATTCCGACGGAGGATACTCGAGGAAAGTAGTATTGCTATAATATCTGATATTTTTGTGTTAGCACAATTTTATTTAATTACTTACTTTGAACATTTAACCATATGAAAAATTTTAATTTTTCAAAATAATTTCAATCAAATTGTGACGTCAGCATACTAAGCCCTCAGTAGGGCTAGCACGATAGGGCGCGACTAGCGCGAGAGCGATAAAGCGCGAGATTTTGCTATTCTGGCATAGAGATCTCGCGCTTTGTGTCGCTCTAGCGCAAGCCGCGCGTTATCGTGCTAGCCCTACAGGTGCCACCGACCTTTAAAACGAAATATCATATAAAATTTAAAAAATAATAATTTTCAAATCCATGAAGACAGAAGTCTCAATGCGCGAGATCATCAAAATACATTTAAGGGGAAAAAAAATTTAAAGTAATACAAATCACCTGTAGCACCTGCATGAATTAACTTATTAAGAAATGTAGCATCTTAAATAACTTACTCGTAATATATTCAAGCGCGTCCCAAGGTATATGACCGTCTGCACAGAACATCTGAAGGTTGAGCATAGCGCATTCACGATCACTGTTATTAAATTCGTAAGTTATATTCCAACCTAGTGGACCAAATTTCTTACGCTCTTGTATGATGGCGTGGAACATACAAATTCCAAAAATCATTGCACGCCAATCCTGCCCCAGTACTGCAGAATATAAATTGTGCATTAACACCGTATCATAGGTACAAATCGTTAACGCTAAGTAAAAGCTAGGTAAGCAAAACATCTTTATTTCATAGGTAACCAAACTGCACTTGAAATCGCCATATTGATCAAACTCTACTGATCATTCGTCTGGCAAAGAAACTCTAGGGGTTGTTCTTAGTAAATGGAAATATAAATACATTTATTATTTATATTTATTTCAAATATCTCAGATCGATACAAGAGGTAAACGAGTTACTACCACGGATTTTCAAGTACTCAGAATCTGTATACCTATAAAATGTTTTTGTTTCGATAGTTTTAAATCTCGTAAAGGGCAAATTTTGAATATCACCCGTCATCCTATTATAGAAGCGTATCCATTGCCCCTTAAATGAATAGTACCTACCATGGTCTTCAAAAAAGTCAGCGTCCATTTCAATTAAAGCTCTCTTAACATTCGCTTTCAAACCTTTTGGGGGTTCATTTGTAACTTTTACTGAGTTCTGCAACACTGACACTGGAAACTTTGGTGTAGGCATGGAACTTAGATAAAGGCGAAATGAAGGCTCTGGAGGGTTGTCAGAAGTCAAGTTTATCACGATTATCTCTAAAGTTGCCATCCACGACGCCGCAAGGTGACAATTCTGTTAAAAGTGCGATTATTCCCTAGACCATCGTTTTTTATTTGAATGGGAATAATGTAAGGAAATTAATGTACACACGCCAGCACATCAAGCTACACATTGACGTATCTTGTTCTGTTGCACTGGAGGCGATTTTCGGACAAAAATGTGTAGTCTGGTGTGCCATTGTCCGTACCTATATCAGTATTCTAAAAACAGGGTATAGGTTATTAGGAGGCTAGTATCAATACTAAGGAGTAAGTTTCAGTTTATTTATTATTTAAGATTTCGAGTAAATTATCATGATATATTTAATATTTTTTTCTGGATACTACACTAAAATATTAAAAAATACTTCATGATGATATACTACAATATTCAAATAAAAAATTGTCACCGAAATTAGATTGAGAAAATTGTCTTGAAAATTAGTCGAAGATTTCGTAATACACCAATTTCGAATGGATGACACACATGTATGTACACATTCCACACAACTATACACTTACAGACACATCTACACATACTTGCACTCACACACACTATCACTTAGGTTAAGCTATTTTTAGTCTGAAAAGTTAAAATTATTGTAATTAGTGAAATTTGTATTAGTTGCAATAGCAGTCATAGTAGATGTTACGGTAGTGAGTTGCATCGTCTTAGAATAATTTAAGAACAATATTACTATTAATATTATAGAAGAGCGATGTTACCTAACACAGGCCCTGGAAATGGAAACATCCGCCCCATGTACTATGCCCTTTAAAATGAACGACTAAAACTTTTTATTTTTATTTGAAATAATGTCCTTCGTCGTAGTTTACTATTTTAATTAATTCATTTCGAAACTACACGAGCTCGAAAAATCGTAATTTCTGACCAAGACGTGGACAACCAGATGCAAAATTGTTTATACAATAAAACACATTTTGAAATATTCATATGAAAAAAACTGACCTCAAAAGTCATTCATCCCCTATTTTGCCACCCTTACAGGTGGAATATTTTCTTCACATTTAAATGGGACCACTACTGAGGTACCCTCTTTCCACAATCGAATTGAGAACCTCCACTTTCTTTTTAAGTCATTTAATAAATAACGAATTACTTAAACTAAAAGTGTCATCTGCACATATCCTCATAATATTATGTTTTTTGAATGAGCATCAAACTACGAAACGAAAAGGTTACGAGCGGAAAAGTTTGCCAAAGGTTTCAAGCACATTGTCTCCAGGATAGTGACACGCTGACAGAGCGCTAATATTGTGAACTATGCAAAAAAGTACAATACCAAATAGCCTAACATATGACGAATATTTTTTTAAAAGCAAACATTATATTTTTGCATTACTGCCAACAAAACACTAGGGTTGCTTATAGGTGGACGAATAAAGGTATACTTATTTATCTATAATTAGGTTCCTCGCTACCATGGAGTGCGCTTTTGTATTGAAAAAATCCCGATACACTAAGACTCAATTAATATTGCGGCAGAACGAAATGGAAGCGAATTTTTGTAACAATATTGTACATAGCGTAATGAACTTTGTGGTCAATTGTGTAACGTACCTACAAACTAGATATGCGTCCAAATCTTCCGCGAAATACGAGAGCATTCTCGAGCAAGCGCGAGAAAATATAATAATCATATGTCACGCCATTTTGGCATCCCGGAATTTAAAATAAAAACATATTTTAAGAAGTCATATTTCACGGGATAAAGTGAACTTTAGGTATAAATGCTTGCGAATATCTGACCTATGCTCATAACATATTAGAATATCGTATGAAACATTAATGTATGGTTACAATATGCAAAAAACTTTTGCATGATAACAGGACCGTGACATCCCTTTCTGAGCATGTTACCAAATTCTCAACGCACCATATTCTCAACTCACCACATTCTCGTGAAAGATGAGAATGTGGTGAACTGAGAGAGACGATAGACGAAAATCCGAGTTTGAGAAAGTAAGGCGACGAAATGTTAAAATGAGAATTTATGGTGGGTTGAGGACATGGTGAGTTGTGAATGAGATGAGCTGAGGACTTTGTGAAATGAGGGTATGGTAACCTGGGAACATGCTGAGCTGTGAATATGGTGCGTTGAGAATTTGATAACCTGCTCACCAAGGGACACATCAGTATCACCTAAATGGATGACGTCTCTGACACACACGCGCGCGCGCACGCACGCTCGCACCCACACACGCACGCACACACGCGCACGCCTACCAACCCGATGTACATACTTTACACTCATAACATTCACCCAAACACTTCCCTATCAATCTTATTAATGTTTCTATTGAATCTAAATTGTCATGCTACCTTTTCTCAAAACAATAAATTAGTGTATTTTCTATATTATCATGGCAATTTACCCTCAACGTCTTAGTAGGTGTTGTCAATAAAATCATAATATAGTATCATTGAGACCCAGTGGTGGATACCTGGTGATAGGCACCAGTCTTCCACCTGACAATTTAACTGTGCGACGTTAACTGTACTTACTTGAAGAAATACCCAATCTCCCTTGGCTTTAGCGTTATTGATCATTTTCTCAGCAACAGGGCCCTGACCTTGCCCCAACGATATTGAATGCACGCGATCTCGAAAATCCATCTCAGTAGCGAACTTTTGGAATGCTCCAAATGGATCAGACCCTGTGCTCAGTACGAAAACGAGAGGAATCGAATTCGAAGTGTCCCCATACCTGTGAAAACATTAACATGTAATAACTCAAAATATCTAATTCATAAACAGCAACCCGCTAACACTGGGGTAAGTAAAGACGAATCGATAGTGCATGACCTATAAACACACTGAGATGCTTTGCTTAAATTGTGTATCCATATTATTCCATATCCATACACAGTCGTGACATCAAGTAAACGCAGCTGAAGTGCAGCCATTAAAACGGTGTTCTGCATATTTAGCAGAACACAAAATTGGTTAAATGACCGCTTTTCCGTTTAATACACTAAAAACTGCATACAGTTATACTAAATAAATTTAGCAAAATACCCAATGCACCCTGTTCAGGTAGTTACTATGCTTATTAACGCAAAGTGAAATTGGCTTTACATTTAAGCAATAAAAGCGAAAACGGGCGTTGTGTATTTCGCATCGATTGTTTCCTGCGAATTTTTCATCGCGAGCGCGTCGACACCCAAACAGTCGAGTCGACGTTCGAACGGTAACGTCAACGCCCGAACACCTGCGAGTCGACGTATAAGTTCAGTCGCGCAGAAGCCCGAATTTTTTACAATGTTCGTTATAAAATTTTATTACACGAGAAGCGGTGAAAGACAATATTTGTTTTTTTTTGTTCCTTCGTAATTCAATTGTCTGGGGAATTGTTTTATTTTTACCTATTTTCTAATGTCCGCAACATTTGTCACTTACTGCCTCTGTAACATTAATAATTATTTATGAATTTCAATACAACATTATAACGTTGTTTCGTTGAGTAAGCTTGTTATTTATAAGAATAAATTAATATTATTTATTTACTCATGTAAGTACGCTATTACATTTCTTAATTTAGGTACGCCATCTAGAGCAGTAAAAGTTAGCTCAGATTTTGCACGAATTTAAGAATATAAATTGGTAACATAATGTTGGCAGTTCATTTTAATATACACGTCATAGGTTTATTTATTTTGTGGAACGAACGAGCGACGACGCGACGCCACTTTCTTTCTCATTCGAATTTCGAACTTCGATTGGATATCGTACCGTGGAAAGCGCGCATTCATGTAAGTTCTCTGTTGTTATAGATTCTCCTCTCAGTGAATTCTGTCGAAATTCACCGGTCAAATTTTGAGCAAAAACCCGTGTTCCTTAACTTGACATTGGCGGAATCATCGATGGAGCTATAACATTTTAAAGAGGAAACAGAACGTAATTATTACGTTTTAAGCGTTCTTATACCAAACCAACTGTTGCCCGAGCTCCTACAGGATTAGTTCAACAAAGTGTCCCAATAAAACATTTTTAGCGTTACTTAAGACTCGAGATAAAGTGCTGGTACCTAAGTGTATTGTTCAAAAGTTTGTATGTATCAACATAGTGAGTACAAAGTATTTCCTTAAGAAGTCAACTACTGCAACAGGTAAAATAATGATTAATTATGATTTAATAATGTTCACGAAATTGGTTTCGAGGGTGACTGAACATTATCTGCTGATGACACGTGCTTATTGTACCACAGTGATAATATCGAATCAATAGGAAGAGTAGCCCAAAATTATTTAAAAACTTTTTACATGATTCGAATGTAACTTACTTACCATAAATGTAGCTAAGACAAATTTTGTGATATTCACAGCCAAAAACAAAAGAATCTCAAATGTTCACTTTTAACTATTAACAACATAGCTACAAGTAGAGTGAACTCTGAAAAATATTTAGGTTTTATATTATATAGCTGTTTAACTTGGAAACATCAAGTCGAAAGAATTTGGGAAAACATATTATCTATCATGGGTTTTGCTCCATGGCACAACTAAATGTTAAAAAAAAAGAATTTTAAAACTGTATGCAAAAACATATACTTAATGGAAAACATTTAGTTATTTATATTATATAATTCATTGGTCAAATCATGCCTTGACCACCTTATCGAAGTATGGGGTTCTGCTTCCAAAATACTTTTTGTTTTTCCTTAGAACATGTAATTTTATCTGTATACCCTCATTTCAAAATTTTGTCAGCACATAGTTTCTGTAGAAATTTTATGACACATTGTATTTCTCGCAAAGTGAATTTGTATTCTTTTAAGAAATAAATATCGTAATCCATAATTATAAGGTGAAATGTTAAGGCTGCTAACAAAAGTTTTTATTTCAATGTGTCCAAACACTACTATTTCTTAAAAGTTCATTTGCATGCTACACAAAATTAGAAAATTCCGCACTTTAAATACCTTTTAAGCCAAATTAGTGTTGGTATGAAAAACTGAAATGGTAAAAAAAAGAATATTGTTTTATTTAGTCTGTATTTTTATATATCTGCAAATGAAACATGAGATTGATCATACCACATTAACGCTTTTGTAGATAATAGTAGGTAATGCAAAAACTTTTGTACGACAACAAAGTTAGTTAGATTTCACCACAGGAGACTTAATTACTTATTTTATATTGCGTTAGTGAATGTAAGAATTTAATAAGGTATTTGAATATATAAATTTGTAGGTTTCAAAGTGAAGCGTGCTAAGAAAACAAAAGGAATTGCAATGGCGGCCGCCACGGCTCAATCTTTTGGAAACATGAAATTTACTTTAAACAATGGCATGCAGATGCCAGCAGTGGGGAGTAAGTTGCTATGCATACTTTTCTACAATTCTTCTTCAGCCGTTACTTATCCTTCTTGTCACTGTCCACTACTGTCATATATCATTCCTTACACAATTCAACCCTGTTTTCTTCAGTTTCATTTAACACTTTGCCATCATTAATAATTACTTTGCAACTTTTCTTTTTTCACTGATCTTGTTATCAATCATCATATACTCATTATATATACTTTATAAATGTTATTTTTTATTTTAGAGTGATAAAAAATTAAACAGTATTTAGGGCTATATGAAAAATTGGTTTCATTTACCTTGATAATGTAAACAGCATTAGGATAGCTCAAGTACTTAGGGGGAAGCGAGGCAGTTTGATATAGGGGGCAACCTCAGCAATCTCAAACAGGAAAATCCCTGTGCTTATGAGTACCCGATTACTGAAAACAACTTGGGGGTACTACTCATACAAAATCTTTTATTTTTAAGTTATAAACTCGCCATAAACTACGTCTGTGTCTTGCGTGTCTGCATTGTTTCAGTATTTTTATTATATATTCACGCATGTGTTGTAACAGAATACATTTTTAATAAGTTTAATCTATGCTAAATTTTTTAAAGAGAATGCAATTTTTTAGTAGTTATAATTTAATCATTTTAATTATACTTTATCTAATTAGAAGTTCCTTAAAATATAATACCTTAATAATTAGGTACGTTACAAAAATTCACACAATGTTTGCTTTGTTCAAATTAATATGAGATAAACAAAGACTTGATATGTAAGTCAATGCTTGATATTAACAACTCAAACCTTTTTCTAGTTGGCACTTATCGAATACGTAAGGGAGATGACATTATGAAAGTCGTTGAGTACGCCTTGGATGCTGGATATAGGCTTTTTGGTATGTCAAGTGTTTCCATTGGGTTATTTGATCAATGAATATGATGATTTTGGCAAATAACAGTACTTAATAAGCAATATTGCTGGATTTATAGATACTGCAGCTGTCTATAATAATGAGAGCCATTTGAAGGAGGCATTCCGAGTGTTGCTCCCCAAGTATGGATTGGATCGAGACGACATTTTTGTGACTACAAAATTATGTAATAATAAATTTTATTGTAAGGGTACTAACATTATCTAATTTGATTACAATTGTTAGAAGTAGTGGTAGCATGGTGCTGTTGAATTAAAACAGGTGAATTACTGGGACATACCTAATGTTTCAATTGCAAATCGTAAAAATTTACAGCAGCTTGACTTCACTTGCATTTTTACACTTTTGCTTTTAGAAGTGGTTTGTATAGTAGTTTCCATTAATAAATGTATAATTTACTTATAAAATAATCGTGTTGCATGAGAACAATAGTAATCTTGTAAGTAATACAAAGACAAAAGGTTTTTAAAACACTTTTTTCAGCACCATCTAATTATGGAGGTTCAGATGTTGTACACAGAGCTTATCAAAAGTCTTTAGAGAATTTGGGACTTGATCAAGTCGATCTATTTCTGATTCACTTCCCTGGGGTCGCTCGGTTAAATGCATCAGATGTTCGGAATCAGAAAATACGAGAAATGACCTGGGCAAGCCTAGAAGAACTTTATGATGATGGACGTGTCAATGCTATTGGTGTCTCCAACTTCACCATTAGACATCTTGATGAAATAGCAAGCAATCACAGTGTGATGCCTGCAGTAAATCAGGTACCTATCCCAATGTCTTCTAGGTGCACTTCTTTTCAATTTCAATTTACTTTTTTTTTGTTTCTTCCATGAGACATACTGTCACTTAACACATACTTTTCGATTTCAGGTAGAATGGCACCCTTTCTACCATCAACCAGAACTACTAAATTATTGCAAGGAAAAGGACATAGTTGTGCAGGCCTATTGCTCGTTTGGAGGAACATCAAGCTCAAATACAGATCTTGTCGACCACCCAGTTGTAAAGAAGATAGCGAAGAAGCTAGACGTCTCATGCGCCCAAGTCTTGCTAGTCTGGGCTTTACAGCAAGATGTAGCTGTCATACCAAAATCAACTAATCCTGAACGGATCAAGGAAAATATTACATTGAATTTCAGGATTCCTGATGAAGATATGAAATTATTAAATGCTTTAGGTGAGCAAAATACTAAGTATGCTTGGGATCCTAAAGTTGTCTATTAATTTTCAAGTGACACCAATGATTGTAAGACTTTCACAGGGTCTAAAATACACTAAATAAGTGTTTTTAGGCGAATAAGTTCTTCGCATATCTAATTAATATGTCATTGTTCGTGAAATGTCTAAGTATGATTTTTCAAAATAAGGCTTTTATAAATGCCGCTTCAAAATGTAATATTTGATTACATGTTACATATCTTCTGTGTGGTAGTAAATGTCGCAGGGTTCATAATAATTATCGTGATTAAAATGGAGGAGATTCGTCTCTAATACTTGTTGGGGGTATTTAAGTGTGTAGAATGTGGTAATATCTCGCATATGAAATCAAATACTGTCGTGACTCAAATTTGTGAAATTCAGAAAAGACGATTTGAAACTTGAAAAAAATTGCTAAATAAAACCAATAAATATATATATTCTCGTTTATAAACGGGTAACTAAATATCACATTATTCGCAGTAATAACTATATTCAGAATAAGATTCAATATATTTTTTGTTTCAAATTGTGTTTTTCTCAACTTGACCATTTTGAGGTACAGCTGTATTTGGTTTCATGTGCGAATCTGTTAGTGTATTAGTATTAATTATTGTACCAGTCGCACAGACATTAAATATTCGTTGATGCCAACAATACATCAACTTAGCGGGAAGTGGGGCAGATTCGTCCACTTATTTTTAACTTTAATTTTGGGCTACTAAATGAACATAATATAAATAATATTTTCCCTGCCTAATTGATAATATAACTAATAAAACATTACTAGTGAAATTTTTTTTCATAAATAACATTGAATAATTGAAAAATTTTGCTTTTAACAAAAAATGGGAATTGTCCAATTCTGCCCCACCTACGGGTTACTTTGATATATCGCTTGGGGCACTTTGATGTGTGACTCAAAGTGTGCCATTCCTGGTTACCTACTACTACTTGATAATCAACTTACTAGATAATCAACTGTTCATAAGGTATGACGGTATAGAAGCCCCAGCACTTGCTAGATCAAGACTTTTTTCTAGGGTTTTTCCAATGGTAAAAAGTGTACTTTGTAATGTAGTCTTGGAAGTAGAAATAACGCACACACTCAACATAGCCCCGCACTAGGAAAACCCTGTGTCGCGGGTGCCATGGACACACACATAGACAACCACAAATTACACCCAAACTCACGAGAGAAATAAATGTAGGTCATACAAATATTTCTCGTACTGCAAATTAGAAACATTGTGTATATTTATTTTCGTATTTAATTGCTGCTTGTCGTAAAGACAAGAGTACACTCTGTCTTTACGACAAGCAGCAATTAAATGCTGCGTACACGCAGTATTTAATTGCTTGCCGAATTGATTTTGATTTCTGTAAATTTTTGGTTTGTATGTAAATAATAACTTGTTAAAATAATTTCACATTTTTCGTACAAAATATCTAGTAGGGGCGCTTTGATACGTATTAAACTGCCCCATCTACTATTACAAAAGTACACTACCGGCCAATTTAGAAAAAAACATTTAAAAAAAATATATTTTTAATATTGCCCTAAAGTCAAATGCAATTCTAGTTTTGAATATACAAATTTATCTTGTATTAAGACATAGAACCTGTAAAGTGAACAAAACTGCAATAGCATTCGTATTTCTGTCGCTTATTTTTTTAGTCAACGGCTGTGAAAACACTTTGTGACCTGTAGAACGACAACGGTTAACTGGTGAGAGGCATCACCGCAAGTCTATTACTCACATGTACAAAGGCACGTTTTAGTGTTGTCACGACTAATATTATGTATGAAGGTCTGGAGTAATGCGTAGATAGTGTATGAGTGTGCCCCCTGTATCAAACTGCCCCGCTTCCCCCTAATTATTAAGGTATTATATTTTAAGGAAATTCGAATTAGATAGAAGTAAGTTAAAATGATTAAATATAACTACTAACAAATTGTATTCTCTTCAATAAATTTAGCACTGATTAAATTCATAAAATGATTAAAAATGTATACTGTCAAAAACAATTACAACGCATGCAAAAATACAGAAACTATGCAGACATTATACACGCAAGACACAGACGTAGTTTATAACTTATAAACAAAAGATTCCGTAAGAGTAGTAACACCGAATTGTTTTCAGTAATCTGGTACTCATAAGCACAGGGATTTTCCTGTTAGAGACTAGGTTATTTATGAATATTAATATACATATGTAGAGTGATACACGTTCATATGTAAACGTGATGGTTACCTACAATTTTGTATACTACAAAAATACCAAAAGTAAGTACTCAATTTCCAGGTTAGTACAGTCAGCTTCAAAATAATCTGAGCGCTCAGTATGTATAATAGTTCATCATATCATAAAAAACTACCACCTTCAAAGAGCCGGAGGTGCAATTTAGGGTGGTATCAAATGAATTTTTTGTTTCAATCAAAAGTGCATAACAATAAAGAATTGAAGTTTACCTAAAGCGCACTTGCTTGCGAATGAATTGTATATTGTAAATGTCTGTGCTGCAGCAAAGCGAAATCCGCTTACAATATGTCGAGCTTCGGAGTTATTCAAGGTTTAGTAGCGGTAGGAAGGCGTAGCGACTGAGTTGTCTTATGTGAAATCCCTATATTTGTCGAGCACAAACATAATCCAAGTAATAAATATTTCGACGAGAAATTACCGGTTATTCATATATACTATAACAATCTACATCTAAGCACGACCGCCCTAAAAGAGTCTGTAAGGAGGTATCTAGGTTACGAGGTAATTGTCGGCTGGAAATTCATACATTCGCTCTTCTTTTTTCAATTTGAAGGGCATTTTCTGGCATGCAAGTGATGCGATGTTTTATTTCCCCGATAAAATAAATAATTAAGTGCTACTGGTGAAGCCATCTACCATACCATTTCCACAGAATACTTACAAAGTGTTAAGTTGCACTGTGGGGCTTTCGATGAACACTTGGCCCAGACTGATTTTAACATACTGAGCTATTGCGAACACTAACTTTTCTTCTTTCAAACACTTTATTATCATTAACTTTTCAAATGGCGTCAACTTCTCATCCCAGTTTGTGACTGGAGGAGTATCATTACTTTTATCAACGTGTATGTCCTATAAAAAAATCATTGCACATATGATAAAAATAATTAATGTAAATTGTAGCATCAGTTTTGAATCCACCTGGCTCTCCTTCAAATTAAAAGATCATACCACTGTGAACGATCCCAACGAAATATGTATTTTTTTGAAACAGTCCTTGGCAATGCCTTGGAATGAAGGATCTGTCTCTTCCAAGTGATAAGTCATCAACCACATAGCGTCGGTCATTGTTTCAAGTAAAGGTTTCTTCGGAGGGACCTAAAACAGATCCATTATAATATAAGTTTTCCAAAGTCTAATTGTAACAGTTGTCAATTTATTTACGTCCTATCTGCTGGACACGAATCTTGTTTAACCGTTTACGCTATAAGCCAAACCAAATACATAATATTATGCTCCTTTCCTCCCTAAGCGACAATTTTTTTTAAATTTTTTTTTTATATAATACCGGTTTTTTATATAAGTGACGGGACGAACAAGTCGTGCGACTGGTGGTAAGCGACACACCTGTCCATACCTAACAATTGCACTGCCACTCAGAGCTTTAAATCGCAAAGATCTTAGGGGCACTGCCACGGTGCCCGTCACCCTGAGACATAAGTTGACCAGTCCCATGTGCCTGTAATTTCACCAGCACCCTTACCCTTCCAAACCAGAACACAGTAATACTTACATTATTGCTTGGCGGCAGAAATAAGTAAGGTCTACTGCTACTAAAATTACAAGGCGCTCCTACTATTAATGTATTTCAATAAAGACATAATGTATTGTAGTACATTTTCTCAAACGAATTGAAACTTACCACTTTCGTGCCAGAGGCTCCTCGTAATATAAAGTTCCATTGAATCGGAGAGACCAACTTATCATTTAAATATATGGCTATGTTAAGCAGAAAGCTGAAAACAAGTTTATGTCTTTCGAAAAGGCCTCGAGATACGTTCCGGTAGACCGATAGTGTAATTTCACGATGGAGTATATCCAGTCTAGTCTGCAATACGTCACTTCTCTCGCTTTTTTCAATGACATTATTAAATATCTGCAAAATAATAAATGAATATGAAAACATCGCACTGCTATTACAATAGTGTTGCAACTCAAAATATGAACAATTTAAGAATATACCATTGCTGAACGTAAAATTTGATTCTTTACACGTCAATAAAATCGTCGTTAGAATATTGTGAAAAACAATTAAAATATGTCTACTTAACTCAAAATGAGATAAAATTTTTGTGAGCTAGTTGTGGACAAAAGCAGTCCATACACAAAAATATGAATTTATTTTTTTCCTATTTATTTTATATTTGGCTAGTGGAAATAATTAGATATTTGAATTGTTTAGATGTCTGTAATAAACTTTAACCCATACATAAATTTTAATGATCTTTCACGGGAAGTGGGTAATTAGTTTTTCATCGATTGTGAAAAAATACATTTTTCGAGTTAATACACTATTGTATTAAAAGTGAGATATATCTGCTATAGATCAGCGCGACGCCATGTTTTTGCACAATTTTTTTCTATTCAGATTATTTTCTGCCTTACCTGATTAAAGTATTTCAAAGAGAATTGGTACATAGGATCAATATCGGCCAGCTGTGCGACTGCAAAGTAAAGAACCGCACCGCGTGTAGCGACAGTGCGGTATTTTTCTCTTGCTGCCGATATACTTATTTCCGTAGCCTCTGTCTCTATTAACCTAGCGTTGATAATCTCTGATGTTTCCTAAATAAAAAAACAAGTGATTAACCGATTAATTGTTTACAGGGTGTAACAGAAAAGTATATAGTCATATTTAGTTAACTATATAAAACACGTTTTCAAAGCGTTACAAAATAACAGTGGAGAAGTAAAATAAATCTTATAGGCCTTGGGAGATGCGAGTTTAAAATCCGAAACAACAATAATAACATTTTACATACAGTAGTACATTAAGTCAAAGTGAAAGAAATTCATGCCATACCTTACTCTCATTTAATGTATCAATTAGCTCTTCGTCGTCAAGTATGTTACCGGAAGAGGCGTATAAAAGTCTTAAGATCTTGTCCTCTATTTCCAATAACGTGCCCTTGTCAGTATTAATACGGATTATCAGCTCTGTTCGAATAGATTCCAAGTCTGGCCTCTCCAATCGCACCACATCGCTAATTTGAAACATGTTTTCCCAAATTGTACAACGTAGAGGAAATTTAACAAATTTTTAACAAAAAGATTACATTGGTGATCGAATGTCATGAAAAGAAAGCATTAAACAAAAAATATTTATTTCGACTTACGCGAAAAAGATTCATATAATATGTGCCTTGAACGTCAATCGGATTCTAAGTTTAAGGCTGGTTTCAGAGCAGTGGGGAATAGTGGGGATTTATTTGCGGACCGTACGTGCGGAGCATCGGAGCGGAGTGACACGTGAGGCGTTAGAACATCGTTTTATAATGACGCGGATTGCTCCGTACGGAATACGCTCCGCGTGGCTCCGCACGAGCAGCCCCGTGCGTTCATTATAGGTATCTGTATATCCGCATTAAATTAAATACTCGATTCGGAGCACTGCGGATTCTACGCATGCGGATGGCCCGCAGGCCGACAGTCCGTACGGGCCGTACGCACAGCTGTGAAACAGCCTAAAATTTTGTTCGTGAATGCAAAATACCTTTTTAATGAAGTTGTTTGTTATCATACGACAGCCAACTGATAAAGGATCGCTCCTTTCTACACACAGGTGCTTTATACAGATAAAAAAATTTAAATTAAACAAGTGAAAATGTGACAATGGTTCTATAAAATTGTGAATAACAAATAATGAGCCTCCCTTGTAATCTACAATGTAATGGGAGTGTTATCTGTTATCTGTTTTTAGCACTGCTCTTGCTACAGTGCTAGGAAATGTTTCTGTTCAGTTTAGTAACTTACGCTAAGAGTTGATCTTCGAGTCCGGAAAGTGTGACGGTAAAATTGACTAAAGTCACTTGTATACAGATCTCAGGCAAGTAGTGAGGATTGGCCAACTTGGTTGTGAGGTAGAGTCGGAAGTTGGTATCATATTCGATGTCACTGTCACCCAGCCGGATCAGCATCCTTCCAGCCTGAGGGATAGAAGTGGAAAAGACTGTGAAAATTTAAGATGTATCTATGACGAAATCTTAGTGCCTATGTGTTTAAGCTTTCTAATTGCCTATAAGGTACCAACTACGAAACGAAGATAAAGTAAATAATCAGTCATTTAACCAATATATAAATGTAATGGATAAGTAAGTACAGTGAAACGACTGAAGTTTGGGATTGTATGCAAAATCCGGATAGTTTTGAAAATCACGAATCTATTAATTCAATACAATGTCAACACGCCTTTTACACTGTTTAATATTTCTAGGCTTGGCGGACCAAAGCACATAAGTCAAAAAAGTGCTTCATTTGCTAATATATAATTATATATTTTTTCGCATTGTTTATAGTGTTAGAAGATGCAAAGAGAATTATAAATTTGAAAAAGACACCTGGAATAAAGTTCCAAATTTATGGAGTAACAAATGAATTTGACTTATGTGCTTTAGCCGGTAGATGTATTAGTTTAAATGAATGATGTTGGATTTTTCACTTATGTGCTTTAGTCCGCCGACCCTAGATTTGACCCCACCACAACACGAACAATTATTGCAATTTGTCGGCTACATTTGAAAATCTCGTAACACCGTTTCAGAACAAAATTCTTGTTTTTCAATAATATCGGGCAATTAAAGCTTAAAGTATATATAGTATAAGTATTTGTGCACCCTCTTTTAGATGTAAAATAAAGGTATAATCATAGATTGTTATAATATCTGGACTTAGACACTTGTGCCAAGCCACGGATATAATTATTTCTAGTGATTCAGTTTTTTGAGTCTACTCAAAAGTTCAGATTAATGGAGGTTACTAGGTTTTCGAATTTAGCTGACGAATTGTATGTTTAATATTGCCCTCATAAAGAAGTATACAAGTAGATATTACATATTAAAAACATTTAAATTGAAATAAACTTAAAGGCTGAGCAGATGCTGAGAAAATTTCGTCAAACAAAGGAACAAAAAACCTCCTAAAAGTACGGTATGTATGATATATAATAATACATATGGTATGTATGAGTGCTACCATCACGCCTATATGGCATTTTCTTTAAAGTACTTACCTACGACAATTACTACTTGTAATAAATATTTTTCTACATCAAGAGAAATATGTGTTAAATTAATATATGTTATTAACGCCCTAAGTAATCAATCACATTTGTCAACAATCAAAATTAAAAAAAAAATGTATTCATTGAGGTAATCAAATAAGTGCAAAGTTGGTGTAACCTACATTGATTTTTTTGCTACAATATTCATTTCAGCTACATTTAAAATGGTATTAAAGTACATAATTATCGGTTTAGATATTAGGAAAAGTGTGTTTCCCAAATGGGCCCTGCCGGAAATAGAATCCGAAACCTCCCTATCCAGCGACCATACCGGAAACCGTTAGCCTACAGAGGTCGTCAAAATCGTCAAAGTATGTATTAACAAATTTATTTATTATATATTAGTTGTTATAATTATTAATACAAAGGTCGAACACGAGGAAAAATTCCTTATTCGGTCTAATAGGACTCGAACCCGCGTCTGTGCCATTCCATAGACATAAAGAGGCCTGTTCAATCGAGTGTGTTAATAATTATAACAAACTAATAGTAATTTCACAAAAAATAAATTAATATCATGGTAGTGAAACATAGTATTCATTACAATTAGTATCAGATACTAGTGACCGTCAGGATGGCTGGTCGCCTGTCACTGGCTGGCTGGGCACTGAGTGTATATTCAAGAATTGGTACCCATTTGCTACCTTTTATAAATAATTGCTACCTTTGATATATTCTGAGAAATCAAAAAAATAATTGACCAGCCATTCTGACGTCAGGATGGCTTATCGCCACTTTGTTCAGCATGAAGGGAGCAGATTTTCCAGAACCAATAATCAAATTTTCCAGTACCAGTATTACCAATAATTGCTACCTATTTGCTAGGTTCACGAATTAAAGGTGTACGCTTCCTATCTACATTAGCTTAAAATATATAAACGATTGAAAATTTTACGAAGAAGTACTGGCCTCTGGCCTTTGTATTATGGCAATAAAGCACTAAAAACTTTTGCTTTTTTAATTTATTAAGGCACTTCTTCGTAAAATTTTCCATCGGTTATATTTTTTAATTAATGTAGATAAGAAGCGTATACATTTAATTCGTGAAGGTACCAATTATTGGTAATACATACTTCTGGAAAATCTGTTCCCTTCATGCTGAATAAAGTGGCGACCAGCCATCCTGACGTCAGAATGGCTGGTCAATTATTTTTTGTAATTTCTCAGAATACATCAAAGGTAGCAATTATTTAGAAAAGGTAGCAATTTTTGAATATACACTCAGGGTCGTATTCCAGAACTCTACTCAATACTCAAGTCCTGACTAGAGTGTGATTTCATACACTAGAAATCATACTCAAGTGCTTGGCATTAGGGTCGTATTTCCAATGCTTGAAATCATCCTCAAGTCCTGACTTGAGCATTGAGTAGAGTTCTGGAATACGACCCTCAGTGCCAGATGCGACAGGCGACCAGCCATCCTGACGGTCACTGTATACTAACAAGTCATACATACCTGCAAGAATATTTGTTTGAGAAGTACTGGCGACAAAGTGGCATCGACATTCTCACCCAAATCTTCAATGAGCATGGGCCAGCCCAGTCGAATGCAATTTTCTAGAACACGCAGGTATCCAGGGTCGGTCAGCTTTGTAATTAGCAATCCATTTTCTTTTTCCATGTTACGTATCCATCTATTGGCCTGTGGAGCAAAACAGAATCAGTTATGACTTCAACTCGTACTTCTTCCTGGTTGTACTGTTGGCGCAGTGGCTGTATATATAGTTGGCGAAATATCATTTGCACCGATTCGTTTTATCGCTTCATCTTTAGAATACAATAGGACAAAAGAGTGAGCGGTCTCGGTAACACACGTACCTGTATAGTACAAACAACTAGTTTAAACACTTTTATACATTGGCACTTAATTCTAAACCTCATAAACTTCGTTGAATTAGTAAGAAAAGAGTCGGCAGTCGGTATTTTACAAAGTACTTACAGGTTTTAAAAAAGCGGCCTGTTGATTAAATAAATTATTAAATTCAAAACTAGAATTCAGAAAAAGCATTTAATGCATCCATGACTCGTACGATGATCCAAGATCATTAAGTCCATGTGCGCTTTGGATAAATGAAGTGTAAATAGAGTAAAAACCCTACTTACACTTCTTTTACTATTTCAACAACTTCTATTACAACACAGTAATAAATTACTGGAGAGAAGGGAAGGGATGAGCAGTTCCAAGAGATAATATTCATCGCTGCAAATAATATTTCTTCAACTATAGTCAATGACGTAGCATCAAAGTGCTGGTTTGCTTTATGAATTATAAATCTCTCATTCATGTCCCATTTCAATCATACAAATACTGACGACATCAGGTTTTCATGGTGTCGCCAACCCTGATGGTCCGGGTAAGATCCCCGGTCGGGTCAATGTAGGAAACTTTTCCATTTGTCTCGAGTCTGGTTCTTTGTAATACAGTCGCACAAGTGCTTTAGTGACTTTGGGATCGGAGCAACGTATTTGATGTTGTCTGGTATTAAAAAAAACTAAAGTATGTGTCTTCCTACAATAATTAAAAACTCTTTGGCACATTTTTGGTTGTCAAGTTCGCTGTTAAATAATTACTTGTTCTTGAGGATCGATTGAGAGAGACCACCGGCCTGCTTTGGTGACAAGGATGCCATTTTCGGTGGAAATAGCGTCTCGCGGAAGGCCTTGGGAGTTCCACGTTCGTACCGTGTATGAATCCGCCATTAGAGCTATTAAACTGCAAAAATTAAATAACAGATTTCAACAAATTACAACCCACATCAGTGCTTCAGAATATATCAAATCTATAGAGCGGTGATAATAAGTCAAGCATGGTCATGCCTGTATAAGGTCTTAGCTTATGTGTAAGTTTATTCAAAACAATTCCATCGACATAATGCTGCGCATAGGGCCTTAGCTTATAGCGCCTTATCCCTAAATAACCTGAGTATACATACGGTACGTATGATTACGCTTTACGCCACATGTTTGTTATATTCTGGAATATAGCGCCTTTTAAACCGTCGTTAAGCCGCCGTGCCCTTTGGTCCACCATCGTAACTGATCTTTCGTAACCAGCTACGAACAAAAATGCTGCATATGGGGGCCATATTTGTTAACTTAAAATTTTCAAAAGCACTTATAGAACAATGTAGTTTGTACTGTGTTTTTAATATCGCCCCCATGTGCAGCACGGCGGCTTAACGACGATGGTGCAACTATAATTTTATGCTCAACGAGATTGGGTACACTTATTCAATAGGTAGCTGTAACCGTGGCAGCACTTCATAAATCGAAAAGCAAGGTTTTACCACAGTATTACAATATCTTCCCTACAGTAGCGCAACGCCTTTGAAGTTTGTGCGATATTATAAAGTAATCAATTATTAACAATAATTATTACAGAAATAATAATTAAATTGTTAAATAAATTATTGAATATTACTTGTCTAGCTATAAAGCTAGATATATATTTACGTGACACTTTATTTTTTGATGTTTTCTGTATTATATTATTAAAGTAACTCATTATCTTGAATTTTTAACACTCCACATACAAAGAAACTTAATAGCACCGCAGCTTTAGGGCTACATGATTTGCCAGTTCTTAAATGTCATGAAGTCGCTAATGCGTTCGTGTGTGCACTATTTCTTAAATCATAATAATTAATAATAACGAAAAACCTAAATAATATCTGCATAACGTACTTGGTTTTCACGACTTACGATAAGTTGAAAAAATTATTTCAGTTTCCATTGATTTCTACGGAGTAGGAATTAGAATGTACTTTCATGCACAAATATTATATAGGTAGGTACGTATTGCAAAATTTTAGGAAAAGATTACCTCACGTCACGGGAAAATCTATGAAATTTTAAATCCCTGTCGTATTTCGTTTTGTCGAAATCCGTACACAGACTAGATGTGCACCATTATATTATGCGTACAATGATTGTAGTAGAACTCACTCAACGTATTCAAAAATATTTTAAATCACTTCAACCCTTAGTGTTCGGCATGGAAACTAAGCGTGTTTGCTCGCAGCGGCCGGCGCCGCCCGACCCCCCTCGAGTACCCCTTTGTTGTTCTGCGCAAGTACATTCATTGCGGAACTGTATGGTTTGTAAAACTGTGGTCTTACTAAGTGTTTCTTCTGTCGCTTGAGCATAAATAATAAAATAAATGCAAGATTGGGACATTAACTTCGATTTAACAATATTATAAAGAATACGTTACTCGAACGAATCGGAAGATGGTATTTCCAGTTCACGACACTCATTGACCCATTTCTGCTCCAGTTCTCGCCGGAAGTGCGTTGGGAATGCACCAAAGTAAGCGATGCACCCCGCGCATATTATTACGTCGCCCGTAGTGCAGAACAGTTTGAAGGTAGCTTGCTGTGTAGTTACAACGTTTTTTTTTAGAAATGTATGCATGTAAAAAGTTATAATATTGTGTAAATTCGTCTTTTGTAAAAATGGGTTGTGAGCTAATCTGCCCTCCTTATCATAACTAACGTAATTAACATTTTAAGCGAAATTGAGTTCTAACATCTGATATCAGAAGATATACTGTCTTTTTAGAAGATACCTTTTGCAAAGTCGTTTTATTATTATTTTAAATAATTTTTTATAGAAGCTTCCTAAAGTAGTGAAAAAAAGTATGTTTAGGTAGAAAATTAGTTAATATTTATATAAAAAAAGTAAATTATACATTGCTAGAACCATGAAAAACGTAAGTGTACGTAAAACGTAAACGTCTAGCCAACCTGACGTCAGAATGGCTGGCCACTTTATTTCTTTAAGTTTTCGTTAGTGCAAAGGTAAGTCAAAAAAGGTACTAAATCGTAGAAAATAGGTAGTGAATAATGAGCACAGTTTGATTTGTATATCTCGTTTGGTCCAGCCATCATCGTGACGGACACCGTGGTCTGGAGCGTACAGGATTGCGCGCGGGAAAGCTTGCACGAACAATCTGGCGCGATTACCTGTTTGAAAATTTTTAAGCTAACGTTCTTTCGCGCGCGATTGCTCGTGTCCGTTTTTATTACAACGGAAGAGCGTCCATGTAAAAGGCAATTTTCAATCGCGCAAGATTGCTGTATCACGCGCGATTAGAGTGTCTGTGTAAAGCCCGCTATTTTTGTTGATTGTACGTGTATGTAGGTTAATTAATCAACACTGAATGTAAATACACCATGTACAATTGTTTGTTATCTCTGAAAAATAAATAAATAAAAAACTTTAGGTGCCAGGTGTAGAGGACTGATTCAATGGGGTTCGGGTGGGTGCTATTAAAGAGTGAGCAAGACCGAAGAAAATGTACTTACATTTTATTTAACAAACACACCGCTATTAATCAAAATAGCAACAGTAGTGACAATACCAAGAAAAGGCGCCAAAAACAAGTACATTTAAATTTAGAATTTCAATATAAAATAAACTTAAAAAGACTATATAAAATATTTAAACAAAAAAAAATTCTAGCAACTTCTGAAAGTTACCGAATTGCAAATACGTTAATCATGACAAGGAGAGCAGTAATCGTCACGTTAGGTCTAGGTCACACCTTGACGCTGTCCTCCCAGCGCGTTTGCTCGTCAGCGAGCGCCTGCGTCAGCTTCCCGGCACGCATCAGGCGCGCAGCCGCGAGATCCACGTCCGCTTGAAGGCGTTCGCGCTCCTCTTCCACTTTCTAGATTCACGATTATTGCTTCCAATAAATGTGATGTCGGAGTCTTCACAGAGAAGAACAACGTTTGAGGGGAGTTTTTAGTAGTAAAGGTCCTTGTGAAAGTTTCGTCCAGAGAAGTACTGCCTCGCATATTTCTATCGCCAAGCAGTAATGTGAGCACTACTGCGTTTAGGTTTTGAACGGTAAGGGTGCTGGTGAAATTACAGGCACATGGGACTTGTCAACTTATGTCTCAGGGTGACAGGCGCAGGGGCAGTGCCCCTCAAATCTGTGTGATTTAAAGCCCTGAGTGGCATTGCAATTCTTGGACAGGCGTGTCGCTTACGACCAAGCGCGCGACTTGTTCGTCCCGTCACTTGGTGACATAAAAAAGACTGAGAATTTTATTCAACCAAGAAACCGAGTATAGAGAGTAAGAAAGAGAGTATCTTCAGTTTGACTAACAAAACTTTAGCTTTCGATTCTAATACTTCTAACGAAGTTGAAATCTCGTAAGCAATATTCAAGGGCCAAGCAAAATGAATTAATAGTATATATATGTAAAGGAATAATATGCAAGATGTTGGTTTTCTAACTAATTTTACTTACTCGCAATTCGTCCATCATTTTTGCAAGTTGTGCTTCTATCTTCTCCACTTCCTTCTGTTTCTGCCTCAGTAACTGCATTACTCCCTTCAAGGTAGCTGCGGCGTCTTTGTGCCTATGTAAAATTTTATTAGCCTTTATTTTAAATCTTGCACTGGATTTAAATTAGCGTGGAAATTTTTTAATAAGTATTATAATTAAAAAGCACTTACGCTTGCACTTTGGGCTCGACTATTTTGAACACTTTTGCATACGTGTCTATAGCTTGCACCCACAGAACCATAGAACGGCATACCTGTGAAAAACATGTTCCGAACGACATTTGAGTGTACTGAAAAAATATTGATGACTTCTATTTACAACAATGCCTTCAGGGCGCTGTTGGGGCTGCCACGTTTCTGCAGTGCATCCACCATGTTTGCCGAAGCGCGAGTGGATAGCTTTAATGCTGTGTTGCGAAATAAGATGGCTTCGCTTTTGACCAGAATACGTGGCAGCACTAACAGCCTTCTGATGACGATAAGATGTGAGTGCTCAATAATGCAACACTTAATTAATAATACTTTGTCTTGTGTAAAATATGTATTCTAACGTGGTCATAAGTAAAATACTAACAAAATGTGGATCTAGTTGTCTGAATAAATGAATTTTATTATTATTATTATTTTCAGATTTATTATGAAAGGACATTCAGTTTAGTCGATTCGCAAATATTTGTACTTGCTTACGAAATACGTAAATATACTTCATGCCCTTTTCTCCTTGGGATAGGCAGAGACCACATCGTTGAACTAGCTACGATCCTGAGACACATATTTTCGGTTAATGCTACTCGGTCTTCCTTTGGCATGTCCTCAATTTCGTTGAGTCCACCAAGATCCCCTAGCCCAATCCTCCAGGGAATTTGTGAATTTAGCAATTCATTAGAATCCCCAAAGTTAAATGTATGTAAATTGGTTGTGATGAGTTCGCTTTGGTCGACTCTTACCAATTTGCCAGCTCACTTTCGCTTATAGATCTGCCGTCAATCTTTTGTCATTCAATCTTATGCATTATAGTATATTACTGCAGAGGCCGGGAAGTTAGGGATTGCTGGACGAGTACAAGTTACAAGATGCCAAGCGCAAGCGAGGCGTTTTGTTAATGCGAGTCAAGCAATCCCTGTGCCGAGCTTGTATAGTGCTTTTCTCATACAATGTGAAGGAGTACTAAAAGATCAAAGAGAGAAGATATATAATAAAAAAAGGTAAAAAAACATTAAAAGTAATATTTGACATGTTAGGACGATTTGCTAAAAGAATGCAATGCAATTTGGAAAAATATGTTGTTATTTTTCCAGGCACATATTAATAGCATAACTTTTCATGTATCTTACTTTGCTCATAACGATCAACAAGTTTTCCATGGCTATTACCTTATGTTTTAAATTAGGCGGAGCACAATCAATTACTATATTTCCGTTATAGTTTTTCTCACTAAAACTATTTTTTCGACGAAAATACAAAAAAAAAAACGAAAAAGCAGAAAAGAATACCAAAGTACTTTAGTTTAGTTTACCGCATTTTCTTTTAAAAAAAAAGTAAGCAGTACAGGTAGGTAATTCTGGCAGTCACGATCACTGGGCAATTGGCCGTATGAATTTTTCTTTTGCTGTTTACGTAGTTCATTATTATTAGGTATTAGATTTAAAAGTTTAGAGAAGTGGACAGTAATGGATTTTCATATTATTTTCATACTTACTTTACTGGCCTTGGCCAAGAAGAAGTCGCACGGTCCTTAAATGACAAACTTCCGTGTTCGTTTTTTGAAAGTAATGTAAACATTTCCGAACATGTTTGAGAATAATCTCAGTACAGAGTACTAAAAAAACCGACCTCAAAAGTACGTGGAATTACATCTGCTTGCCAAGTTTTATTGAAATATCCCCTAGTTCGCCACTATACGGAACTTGACACAGGAGATAATAAAAATCGGTTCTCACTATTCAAGTATTCAAAGTATATTGATAGAGAAAAACGCCTTGAATTAGAGAATAGCAAAATCAATTATTAAAATAATTGCTCCTTATAATAAGATTTAGGCGCTATTTATAAAAATGAATCTTCATGCGTGAACAGCCACGATGGTTTCAGGTCCCATTTATATTGAGTTGCAGACTTCACACGTTTTTCGAGGGTTGTGAACCGAAAAGCTCATGGTAAATATCAAATTAAATTATGCATATAAAGTCAAAGAAAATCAGAGGTGCGAGTCTGGATTCGAGCCCACGGCCTCTGCTTGAAAGGCGATACGTCAAACCATTAGACTATCACAGCTTTGCATGCAGTATGATACTACTACGTTATAATCATAGATATGCGCCTTTCATTATTATGCGAATGTGTGCGTCCGTACACGGCGCGCGGTTGCGCACATAAACAAGCCACGCTGTTCTTTTGCACGGAGTTACCCTAGTCGTTTTATCCTACTATGTTATTACTATCTTACCTTGGAGACTTTGAGTACAGTGTCGGGATTGAAGTCCTTGTGAGTGAGGTAGACTTTAATTTTCTTTAAAGTCGTTTCAGGTATGTGATCTTTGTCGTATTCTTCTAGATTCCTGAGAAAGTTTACGTCGGCGAGCAATTTTTTGGTGCTGTCCCAATCAGGTCTATAAACAATTTAATCAAAATAAAATCCATTAACAACGAAGTTCCGAAACAAACAAATACATATACAGGCTATTTGTAAAATACTAACAACCTCGCTATATTACTAGCATCATAATCAAACAAGAACCTTTGTTCCATGTCTTTTTACAAAACATAATTGATTTGGCAAAAATGAACCTTTTAAGTTTTTGTTGTACTATCTGACATTTTTTACATCTGTATTTGGTAGTAAGGTTGTAAGTTAAAATATGCAAGCGTCGTCCCCGACTACTCCCACCCCCGTCCCTACGTTTTGCATAGTGCCGCATAGAATGTTCAGTGTTTAGAGCGCTCTATTGAAATATTTTATATTTGTATGAGAGTAAAATCTGATGAATTATTAGTTGTTGTTTAATTTTTTTTTTATAATACTAAGGGACGGGACGAACAAGTCGTGTACCTGGTGGTAAGCGACACGCCTATCCCTAATAGTTGCAGTGTCACTCAGATTTAATCACAAAGATTTGAGGAGCACTGCCACTGCGCCCGACACCATAAGAAATAAGCTGGTAAATCCCACGTGCCTGTAATTTGTTAGTAATTTAAGTCCTGACAGGTTACGAATCCTACTTAAGTACAATCTTTTGACGGCCTCGGTTTGCATTGTGAACGCTGGAGGAGAAATTCCCAGATTCGATTCCTGGTAGGATAAATTTGGGAAATGCCTTTTGAAATTGGGTCTGGTTTGGGTGTTCTGGATAGTGCTACAGAATCCTGTTGCTCTAGTACTTATAGTACAGGGAATTCCCTAGTTTGAGTCCAGGTAATTGTAGTTGTACAAAACATTTAACCGTGATGATGGTTTTAAACTGTCCAGTGCATGGAATCCGGTCCTTAGTGCGTGCAGTAATAATAACAAAAACACCTCGAGTTCAGTTTCGCATGTGGATACAGTGAGTGTGGTTTGTGTGAAAAAAGTGAGTGACAATGGTAACGCCACAACAAATCGCGATGAAGGTAGTCGTCTACAGCGCAAGAGGGTAGACAGATATGTCTGCTCTTAAAGCTGTCATCTGTCGCCTTCCAATCAACCCGTGACCATGGAGCGTGCAACCGTTCCGAAATATCGGGAAAATAAAAAGAAGTCATACCGTGGTAGGAAATCTGATATTAGTGATAATCATTTAGTGAATAACCACGAAAGTCTCAAAATCTATATAATTGTAGTTGTGTTATAAATCGATGCCTCACTTTCTCAAACTCGTATCTTAATAAATTGCTTATTAATGTTGGTGGTGTTAATTTGGATGCATTACTTTAAGAATAGGTAAAAGCCAGTGTGTGAAAATGAAGGAAAAGTGTTACGAAATCAGCGTGCAAAATTTGTATATACAATCCATTTTATGCATTTCACTAAGTTTGAGAAAGTAAGGCGACGAAATGTTGTTATTATAATAGAAAATTCACGTATCGTTCAACGTCAAATACCAAATCATAAGCCTACTGAGTGTCCAAATATACATGTGTCACTTTAAATGTCTCGTTCTTATTAACTTATCACCATTCAATATGCATAAATAAATAAGAAATTTAGTGATATCCACGACAGGGTTACAAATCCACAGTTCCATTCATGCTATTGGGCTACAAAACTCGTAAAATAAATTTATTAATTTTAAATAGACAATAAAAAGAACTTACTTAGCTCCGAGTAAAATGCAGACCGGTTCCATGACAAAGCGTACTAATGCGGGAGGTTTTTGGAAAGCCTTCAATTCATTAATATCAGCCTTGTTTAGAGACTTTAGCGCGTTTTGAGCTGCATCCATGGCAGGCATAGCTAATGCGAGATCTGCCTTCGCTTCGTCCGCAATTTCTCTCACTTCTTCTGCTTTTATCTGTGACAGTATTTCTATTATGATGTATTTTTATTACGTAATACAGAGCCAAGATAACTACGGAGTCGAAGCCCCACAACTCAAAAAGGAAACGCGGTAGACCACCATACAATACCGAGAACAATGGGGAAAAGAGGGTGGGATGCCTTTGACAGAACAAGCTTATAATAAAATACAGGGTGCTAGTCAACGAATTGTAAACAGATTCAATCAAAAAATGACTCACTAGTGCAATGTAATTGCATTTGAAATATAATTACGCAGTTAAGTGTTAAGAAAGCCAGGCTATAAGACTGTATCGACTGTTTGCGCACACATTACCCATTTGCAAATACAGTAACTCTGTAGTAGTGTAAAAGAATTGTAAAACGTTCTAATAAGTAAAAAGTTACAGTTCTAACCCCTACGTATAACATCTGGAAAATTATAAAGTTACACGTGTGTTTTGGATATGAATATAATAAAGATGCAATTTTTTTTACCAACTAAAACTCAGTGTTTAAAGAATTTTATAGGTTCACCTTAGCTGCCGCTTCGTCTTTCAAGACAGCTTGTTTTACTTCATCCGCAGATTTTTGCTCGACCTTGAGACGGTTAACAAGCGCGACGCCTTCTTCAGCCTTCTTTGCCAGTATAGGTTCCATTTCGCGCACTTGTTGCTCCATGGTCCCCACCACGTCGTACGTCTCGTATAGTTTCTGCCGATATACACTGTATTTTTTTTAACTGAAGCAGTAAGGGAAAATCCGAAATCGTAGGAGACAAAGAGAACCGGTTTCAAGAACCATTAAGTCTTTTTTGTGTAAAGAATTTTGGCATAGTAAATTTTTAGCCAAGGGTGAGTTGTCCATAAAAATGAATAAATTAACTTTTTAGTGTTGATCGACTTAAGTGTTATGAAAGGATCATTTCATTGTATTGGAAGAAAGTATTGGGACAGCAGAAGTTGGTCAAATTGAATGAAATGTTTTTACACACAAAATACATAAAAAAACAGGTTCCCTGTATCTCCTGTGGTTTCGGATTTCCCCAAACTGTTCCAGTTAAATAAACACATTGTAAACTTTTTTTACACACGTATTATACTGTACGCTGGGCAAGGGCCATCTCGATTACTCGTACACAAGCGCTTTAAAAGTAAGTCATTAACCAGAACATATAGAAGTAGTAGCAGTAGAGCTCCTTGTGAAAGAGTTCGTCCAGGGTACTGCCAGCTTACCTATTTGTGCCGCAAATACAACATTACTGTGTTCCGGTTTTGAAGGGTAAGGGTGCTGATGAAATTACAGGCACATGGGACTTGTCAACTTACATCTCAGGGTGACGGGCGCAGTGATAGTGCCCCTCAGATCTTTGCGATTTAAAGCTCTGAGTGGTATTGTAACTGTTATGGACAGGCGTGTAGCGTGTACCATCACGACTTACTCGTCCCGTCACTTGTTATAAAAAAAATGACGATCTCGGTGGCCCAGCGGTTTGCATTGTGGATGTTGGACGAGGAGGTCCCTGATTCGACTACCCGTAAAACCAATTTGAGAAATTAACTTTTCTACATTGGTTTGGGTCTGCGTGTTCTGGGTAGGGTCTGTGCATATGCATTAACGTGCATTTCATTGCTCTAGTACTCATTACACAGGGAAATCTAGTTTTCAAGCTAGGCAATTGATGTGGCTGCCTGGTACACTATTATTGTTTAATAAAATTACCCGCAATCCGCAAGATACCCTGTCTCTGCCACGGATAATTTCCTGCTGTTTCTTATCAAGCAATGACAAGTATAGCTTTAGCAGATCTAGATAACTGCTCGGCGTCGTATAGAAGTATCGCCGCATCTCGTCGTATAATCGGTCCGTCATTATGTCCACGTCCTGATAATTTGATATACAATTATTAAGTATTCGGACGAAACCTATATAAATGTAAAAGAAAATCTCGAACACAATTTGGCAATTATGTATATACATATATATGTATATACATAATTATGTATATATATGTTATACGAATAGTGTTATTCACTTTGTTATATAAGGGGTACAGGATATAAAATGACATTACGTCACAGTGCTCAAAATATCTCTGTATTTTAGACTAAAAGTGAACCTAATCTTAATCAACTTTTAAAAATGAACCTAATTTTAACCTTCACCTTATTGTTCACCCTCGCTGGTGCCAGCGACTTCGTCTACGTAGAATAAGTATTCGAGTAGCCTACTGTATTATACTAATTGTCTTAGTTTTATTGGTCCTCCATACAAACTTTCACCCCTTATTTCACCCATCTATCTCTATAACAATGTTCGTCAATATTGGTTCAGTGGTTTAGGTGTGAAAAACGCAACAGAAACAGTTGCTTTCGCATTTATAAAATTAGAATGGGTTATTATTAAATGTACAGATAGTTCACGCAACATTGACAACTTTGGATGTGTAGATATTTTTGGTGAATTTAGTTATTCATCATACATGCTCTCCTCTCTGCGCATATACCTTGTGCATGGAGACACAAATTGTTGATAACTTCTCAATAATATTGTCGTCGCCAAGTGGCTGCAGGCACTGTTGCGCTACAGAGAGTAGCGCATCTGGTGGCCATTTCGTGAACCAATCTATAGTACTGCAGTTCACCAATGATGGGAACATACGGCAGCGTCGCCTGCGAAACAGTTGTTATTAAAAGTACATACATTTCATAGCTCAATGCATACAATATGACAAGATGTTAATTTATCCATCATTCAATTTTTAACCGACTTCAAAAATGGAGGAGGTTCTCAATTCGACTGATTTTTTGTATGTATGTTACGCGATAACTCGGCATTTGTAAACCTATTTAAATGATATTTTTTTGTTGGAAAAAGTGTACCTCAGTAGTAGTCCCATTTAAATTTGAAGAAAATATTCCACCTCAAAGGGTGGCGAACTAAGAGATGAATGACTCGAGGTCGGTTTCTTTAGTACTCTGTACTGAGATTATTCGCCTTGTAATTAAATATTTTAGACAAACATTCAGAACGCCGGTAACATTGAACAATAGAGTTAGGCGGGAGGAGGAAATCTACTACGGTGTACACGGCCAACTCGAAACATAGTTTCAAGTGTCTAGATTCCCATTTTCAAAGGAGCGAGTATGAAGTCGCACCTGCGTTATTAATTTTAAACTAAATTTCTGCAAATCGCCAGAAACTTAGTAATTTTTTAGCATAAGAGTTAACCAGACTAAAAATTCGTTCAATTGTAGTACCATCGTTTAAAATGAACCAGTTTGAAACCTATTTTGCATTAAAAGAAGATGGAAACTGTACAGAGAGCCAGCCTGTTACGGCCTGGCTACAGGACCGGGCTGATATATAAACTTTTTCTATTGCTCAATATCAATATATTTTTAGTCTATTGGTCGCTCAGTTCTGTATTTCTGTCAGAGTAATTCATGGAGTACAAGTGAGCACACGCTACGTAGAAGATTCGTAGAAGCTGTTTCAGGGTCATTCGTACCCGCCAAAGCTTCCAGACTCAAGGTAATTACAATTTAATGCGCGTTTTGCGAGTGTAACTTGAAATAAATAATATAAAGAGTAAATTTGCCTATGTAGCAAGTTTTACGTGGTAACTAAATGTGAACTATACCTGAACGCTTCTCCTACAGGGCTGAAGCACATACAGAGATGTAGCTGGCCTCGTACTCTGTTGATAAAGTAGTAATAAACAGCGTCTCTGTCCGCTGGGTTTAATCCTGCCTTGGCAGCGTCATTGCGAACACCATTCTGTACTTGTTCGTAGGCATCCCCCTCAAACAGATTCGGCACTTCGCCTGTAAGTAAAACGGTTTCTAAAACATTGCAAATATTCCACAAAAGAAAAGTTATTTTTCTGAATTCACACCTGAGTTGAGCATATTGTTTATGTCCTCAAGGAACAGTTCCTTGGTAATTTGTGTATCGGTGAAAAGGAAGACGGTTTCTTCGTTGGCGACTCCAGCGCGCATGTACATCTTGATCAAATCTTCGTGGAATTCTGGCGTATCGTAATTGCGTTTCAGTTCCATGCCCATGCATCTAAAGCGAATAGTAAAATATAGTACACATCATGAACTCTGAAACGATTACTGGACAAGTATGCTTTTGAAGACCAGTTTCCGTCGAGACATGTATGGGGCGGAAATTTGAGATGTGATTGGAGGCCAGCTACCTGTACAGTTGTAACTACAGGAAAACAATGTAGACTAAGAGAGACCATCTCTATTTATTAAAATTGTTTCCGACTGTATCGCCACTTTTCAAATGGTTGGCTGCTTTAATGTAATTAGAAATGGACGGATGAAGCTTTAATTCATAACGCACAATACAAACAAAACTACATATTTCTTAAATTATAACGGTATTACCACTTTAAACCATACTATTTGTTGAAGACAAATTTTTAGTTTAATTGAAAACTGATGAACTACTGAAACCTTCGCTTCGCTCAGGGTTCAAGGTATCTTGTGCGGCTAATGGCTAAATTCGTCATAAAACAACTTACTATTTGAGTTCTAAAACGGAAATCACTTTTAAGTAGATATGCAAGGTGTAGGGTGCAACAACAAAGACTATCTGCAAAGCGCAGCGGGTACTTAGGGAATGAATAAATAATGCCCAAAATCGGTGTCGAAGTATAGGTAATTATAAGTAAAATTAAATTTACTTGCACTCGTTGACATGGCCAGCCATAGTAGCCACGCTTCTGCGACCGGACCCCCCGGGGCCTACCATCAAAGTGTGGCCTCTTTCGGCTCGCAGCACACGAGCTATGCGCACCACGTGTTCGACTGCATCTTGGAATAGCACCAAATGCATTGGATGATGTGCCGTTGAGTTATATTCTTCAAGATATTCCTACATTAAAAACACTACCGTCAATCTGGAGGCAGTAGAAAAATATAGCTGAACAAAATACACTCTAAAGTGGAATTCAACTCACTTTCAAAACTATCATAAGTTTATTTATATCCGGTATTTCTGCATACATTCTATTCTCTTTAGGCACTGCAGAGTTAATAAAATCGCCGAAAAGTAACAAAGGGGGTTTTTCAATTATTGAAGTGTCAGGCAACTCCAGTATCGGCTGCCCGAAGTTTTTTTGGCACACGGAACTCATTAGGTGCAGAAAGTAGCTCTTGTCTTCTATGTTGATTAGTCGGTCGTGGAATACTCGCATACATTCGTGGTAAAATAATCTATAAAGAAATTGTAACATGAGAAATGCTACAAATGTATACCGTTTGTCGTTGAATTTGCAAAATTTTGTCACGCACCTAAGCATTGCCTGCGGCATGCGCAAAAATCCAGCGTCTGATTGTAATACGCCCTGCATTGTTTTGGACAAGTCTCGCAAATTGAACACATAGTGCGCTTTAGCAGGCGTCGGCAACAATTCTGCACATATCTTAAGGTACACGTCCACCGCAGCATTCACTATATTCTCGGCTAGCACCGACACCTCCGTGACAAAATCTTCTAAATGCCCTTTCAAGATAGCCTGTAAAATGGTTTTTGCTTGTGTCGGTTTAAAAGAAATGTTATATACTATATTAGACCACGAAATACTAAATGTACTTTGAATATAGTCTTCATGGCGTCGGCGTTGGGTGGTGGTACGAAGTACATGGCGAAATGTCTCACGAACCGACCAGTGAGGGGGTTTCGTCCGCCGCCCGGAGGCGCGCATCCGCAAGACAGAACCACGTCTAGAATGTCTTTCCAATACAACTTGTCACGATCGTAGAAACCGCCGAAGTCAAGCAATTGTCTGGTAAAAAAGATTTTGTGAGCAATGCAAGCAGTCGTAGCTTATGTCATAGGCAACGTACGTATAAATCTCATTTTGTTAAGAATTCAGAAGACTATTTATTTTTACCTTTATTTATTTACAATAAAATATATAATTTTTAATTTACAATTGATTAACAGCAGGATCAATAATTAAAAGACCTTTCAAATTTAATTTTATTATGTAATACGAGGCATGTCTTTTAGGTTCTGTCGTTTATACGTTTGGAATGTTTACAGTCAATTTTCAATTTAAAACTGTTCAATATTCAATTATTTTTTATTTACAATATCAAAACGATTGAAAGAATTAGGATTAATGAATTGTTTAGTCACAGCCTTGTTTCGAATCTGTCAGTTCACGTACGAAAACGAATCTTAGTAAGGAATATGTCAGTGCAATAATATTCTATAACTTCCGCAGAGGCCTAACACAGCTCCAATGTCTCGAAGAGCTAACGTCTGTGTTCCATTATGAAGCGCCATGTCTGCGGACTTTTTACAATTCCAACGTGAACATACCAGTCTTAGTGGCAAATCCCGTGAAGGACGCCCAATATCCGCCTTTACTGAAAATAACCAGTCATGTTGCGACGATTGCACTTGAACATCGTAGAACGGTTAATGCAGAGTGGTATTACCACAGTTTGTTTACCACAAGTCGTAGCCGAACTTTGGAAATCTAACCCAAAACGACGCATCCTACACCATGATAACGCAAGCTCACACAGCGCTCCTCAAACGATTGAGTATTTGAAGCAGGAAAACGTAGAAATTCATGACCATCCTTCATACAGTCCTGACGTAAGCCCTAACGATTTCTTTACATTTTCTAAAATTAAGAAAACTCTTCGTGGTCAAAGGCAAAAGTATGATGAAGAAGCAGTCAACGCTTTCAAGTCAGCCATATTGAACACCCCAACTTCGGAGTCATTGACGTCATACACTATAGACGGAGCCAATCTTCTACGACCT